AGCTTGGGGAAAGCTGGGCGCTGGTGGCTCATGCCTGTAATCCTAGCTACTCAGGAGGCTGAGATCTGAGGATCATGGTTCCAAGCCAGCCCGGGCAAGAAAAGTCCATGAGATTCTTATCTCCAATAAACCACTAGAAAACAGGAAGTGCTGCTTGCCTTGAGCTGAAGAGGTGAGGAACAGCGCCCAGGCCCAGAGTTCAAGCCCCACGGACAAAAAAAAAGAAAAGAAAAGAAAAAAAAGCTTGGGGACAGCATCCAGGGCCTGGGTTCAAGTCCCAGGAACAGCACGTGTGCACATGTGCCTGCACACACTCGCAGGCGCGCACACATACAGGAAAAAGGAAAAAATAAATAAGTGGTTGTGATAGTATTGAGTCTTTGAGTCCGGTTATGTAGAACAGAAAAAACTTGATTTGTTGAAAAATGGTGTCAGCTCACGTATGTGGAATGTAATGTATGTAGATAATAATTGGCCAAAGGATTCTCACTTGACAATACTTTATTGATATTTCAAAATAGCTATAGAAGAGAAATTTCAATATTCTAAGTACAAATAAATGATCAAATGACTACATGATGGATTCTGTAGGCTGATTTATCATATAATGTATATAAAGCATCATACTGTAGCCAATAAATACATTTGAATATTACATGCCAGTTAAAACATTTTTGAAGAAAAAAAAGTGGTAAGCAAGGTATTCTTTCTCTCAGTTAAAACAGGTGATTTATAAATGCAGGACTGAATTCTAGGGTTAAAATTAAAAGCTTCTGACATTTGTTGCCATGTCAAAATGTGTGCCCAGTATTCTGTAGATTTTTCATTAATAAGATGCAAATTATCAATATGTTATAAAATTTTATCCCTATTTTAAAATGTTGTTTCTTTCTGTATTTGAAAAATAAAATAATGTGTGTTGTGGACACCCTGGTATAAAGTGCAGTATTGGGTGAAATACCAATTAATGACTACCAACTTTTGATCTCCAAATTAAGTGATCTCAAAGTCTAAAATATCATAAGTCTTGAAGATTTCTTGATGAGGCATGACTGAAGAAAATAAAAAACTTCCCGGAATGCTTATATGAAAGATACTTTTTTCTAAATACTTAATATTTTTAACTTGGTTAACTTAGTTGCTCCTGACTTTGGTGGGGCAGTGTCTTCTACCCCTATTGGTGTGTTTTAGTTTCTTTCTACCATGGGTCTGTTTTCCACATCTGTGGGGTTGGGAGCATGCAACTATGACTTTCCAACTTAAGATGAAGTCAAATGCAAAATGCAATCAATTGCTTCTAAAGTATGAAAACTTTCAAAGTAGAGAACTTTGAAACCAATTCAGTGCATCCTATTAATATATGTGTGGGAGAGAGAGAGAGAGAGAGAGAGAGAGAGAGAGAGAGAGAGAGAGAGAGAGAGAGAGAGAGAAACAGACAAAGTCAGAGACAGACAGAGAATAGAAAATATCTGTATGCATAGCAGGTAGTAAGGGAAGGAACCGTTTTATGAACCTTTGTTTCCGCTACATGCGTCTGTCTCTGCTAGAATGCATCTTAAAGTGTATTTTTCACTAGTATAGAGTTTACAAGTTTTGAAATAGCTGCTGAGCTAGGGTAACTAAGTAGATCCCTGGTCATTCCTTCCCCATATAAAAGGATTTAAAGTTTGAAGCTGTAAATTTGAAGATATTCTCACAATCTGCTTTTAAGTGTGTGGAGAAAAGATTAGGTTAGGCACCACTTCTGTGTCTTGATTAAATCCGTCCTCTGATTCCAGTTATCACTTTTCAAGGTAATAATACTGTACTGAACTTTATAAAGTTGTGTGAAAGTACATAAAGTGAAGCTCATGAAAGCAGTACTGAGAGATAGAATCATCTTCTGGTGACCTTGGAGAGTAGGAGGGACTGGTAGGGGCAGTGAGCCAGCCTCCTTTCCTGTTCCACTAAAAGTCCTTGAGGATGAAAAGGAGGGAGAGAGACAACACCACAGGAGTTAATAGTACATCCAGGAACAGCTTAAGGAGGGCAAGAATGCACAGAGGAAGCAGATCAACAGATACTTGGGCAATGAAATGTTTTCTCAATGACTATGGCATTATTTCTTAGGAACTAAATGATTTGGAGAAAAGTACAGGAAATGAAAGAATAATTGTCTCTGTTTTTTGTTTTTGTTTTTATCAGTCATGGGGTTTGAACTCTGGGCCTGGGCGCTGTCCCTCAGCTCTTCAGCTCAAGGCTAGCGCTCTACCACTTGAGCCACAGCGCCACTTCCGGCTTTTTTCTTTTTGCTTATGTGGTGCTGAGGAATCGAACCCAGGGCCTCATGCATGCAAGGCAAGTGCTCTACCACTGAGCTACCTTCCCAGCCCTTTAGAGGACAGTCTTTAAAGGACAAAGATCTGATACAAATAAAACTTCTTCTTGATTTTATTATTGTATAAAAAGTTCTAAGACTGTCTTTATAATATAAACGTCATAAGACTGACTTTATAATAGGGACATGCATTGCAGATTTAACATCCTGACACAACTACATGCACTGCACTTGGGGACTGTGTTCTTCCCATTAAAAGTGACTCTCTGCCTTTACTTATTTATTGTTAATATTTTGTTTTTTCAAGTTCTATTGCTGTTTTAAAAAGTGACTTTTTGTAAATGCAGTGATAAAGTGATGGCAAATAACTATAATCTCTCTGATTGTATAAGGTTGGATATATAGTAAACAAGTACACTAGCAAAAGTAGAATATAAAAGTATTGATTCACTACAATTACTAAAGTACTTCCAGTACTAGGTAATAAGTTACCATCTCAGAACTGTACAATTTTTATGTCCTTGGTAGGGGGGAGCTAATAATTTATGATTAGTGTAACAGTTTAGAGAAATAAATCAATACTCAGGATGTAAACTTAAAATGAAGTTTAGGAAGGAAGCAGACTTAAATAATTTGCCCGAGTAACTTCTGTACCTTAACATTCATTTTGTACCCAGAATTTCATTTGTGTAGTTACATGCCTGATACCTCACTTAGACCTTGTGCTTCTAGAGAATGGGATCTAGGTCTTAATCATCCTTCTTTTCCTAATCTAGCATGGTGTCTAATACATTATCTGGCTTTTCTCCAGGTGAAGACTTCAGACACCTGGATCAGATTTATCTGGGCAGTTTTCTTATGACACAGCTACAGACTTACTAAATAAGAATCTTCAGCCGGGTGCTGGTGGTCTTGACTCTAATCCTAGCTACTCAGGAGGCTGAGATCTAAGGATTATGGATCAAAGGTAGCCCAAGCAGAAAAGTCCGAGAGACTCTAATCTCCAATAAACCACTAGAAAACCGGAAGTATCACTACGGCTCAAGCGGTAGAGCACTCGCCTTGAGCTGAAGAGCAAAGAGACAGGGCAGGCCAAGAGTTCAAGCCCCGTGACTGACCAAAAAAAAAAAAAGAAAAAAATCTTCATAGGAAAATTCCAAGCCAAGGAAAGCAAATAGTATAGCTAAAGCAAGGATAGAAACCAAAGACCTTGATCTTGACCTCTGCTAAGTTGATGACATTACCTATTGGGTAATATCTACTAAATGTAAAGTAGTTTAGAAACACAGATATATGAATCACATGTAAGTTAAAAATCTTGAGTCTGGTCAGGCACTGGCCACCCTAATACCTTGTCTACTCAGGAGGCTGAGAACTGAGGGTAGCAGTCCAGGCAAGAAACTCCATGAGATTCTTACCTCTAATTAACCAGCAAAAAGTCAGAACTGGAGGAATAGCTCAGAAGACAGAATGCTAGCCTGGAGTGAAAAAGCAAAGGGACAATGCCTACGCACAGAGTTCAAAACCCAGACTCAACACACACACACACACACACACACACACACACACACACACACACACACACACACACACACACACACACACACACACACACACACACACACACACAGACAGATTTTGAGTCAGAGCTGAATATGATAGTCACATTGAATCATCCAAGCTTCTTAGGGGTAGAGCTAGAAGTATAGCAGTTTGAGGCCAACTCAGACAAAGGTATGGTGACATAACATTTATTGACTCACAGTTTAGTGGTTTGGCATTTGGGAAGTACAGCTCATCTTCTAAATCTTATCATCTAAGCACTCATGTGTGGTGGTCAGCTGGCTGCCAGTGACCAGCTGACCACACATTCTCAGGAGTAATAGTGGTAATTCTTTAGTACTTATCCAGCCTAGTAGCCTGGGCAGGTCGGGACTTGTGGTAGTGGTAGGCAGGGAGAGTTTCCAGGAGCAATATGAGTAAACACTTATCAAGCCTCTGCTTGTGCCCTGTTTGCTAGTGTTTCTATAGTTAACGAAAGGTACATAGCAATGTAGAGAAAGAATATTCAAGCCTTAAGCTAGATGATTTACATGTTACTCATTTAATTGTCCAACATCACTGGCATTATTTTCATTTCAAAGATGGAATCAGTGAGGCCAAATGTTTTCTTATGTTGTGGAATGGCCTTTTAGGCCCTGTCCTTATTCTTTTTGTGATCAAATGTTAAGGTGATCAGGCAGAAGGTGAGCATTTTATATAATTTAGAGAAAAATTGCCTATTGCTGGTGGCTCATGTGTGTAATTCTAGCTCTGTAATTCTAGCTACTCAGGAGGCTGAAAGCTAAGAATTGTAATTCAAAACCAGCCCAGGCAGAAAAGTCCACAAGACTTATCTCCCCTAAACTACTCAGAAACAGACAGCACTGTGGTTCAAGTGGTAGAGCACTTGCGTTGAACACAGAGAGGCTCAGGAACAGGCCCAGGCCCTGAGTTAAAGCCCTATGACTGGAGGTGGAGGGGGGTGGGGGGAAAACTATGATGGAGTTTCTAAGGTGACTTTCATGTCCTTACTTATATGTCAAACTGTTAAACTTTTTGTCATAGAAAAAATAAAAAGTTTATTCTCCTTCAAGTCCTAGATGCTTACAGGATATGTGTGTATATCTGTTGTTTTTGTCAGATCGCCTACACAACCTGGGCCTCCCTGTGCTTTGGACATGACTGAACTTTTCCAATGGGCCAGATACCACTGGCAGTGGCTGATGGGTGGTCGAGCCAGGGAGGACGATGAGAGACCATACAACTACTCCTCGCTGCTTGCCTGTGGGGCCAAGGCCTCCCAGACCCCCAAACTGGCAGGAAAACACCGGGTTGTCATTCCTCACCTCCAGCGCTTCAAGGAAGAGTATGAAAGATTCTCTGGAACCTACATGAATAACCGGATACGAACAACAAAATACACGCTTCTGAATTTCGTGCCCAGGAATTTATTTGAACAGTTCCACAGGTACTGTGTGAATTTGGAGGAATAACAGTATCCTAGGATTTTCTGCACCATTCTGAATTGCTATAGGACCTTTGCCATTTTTCAGAGCAACACCTGTTATGTTCACCTAAAACTTGTTACATCATCCATGGGAAATTGTACTTTACATCTGGTAAAATGCCTTGTCTTTACTAGAGAAGATAGTATTGTCATCCTATTATTATTCAGTAGGGAAGTAATTGATTGATTTAGCTAAGGTCATGCTTGTGATAAACTACTAATCAAGGGCTTTGGTCTTGAGTCTTTTCACTATTGGTGTAGTGTTCTTTCCAATAAGCCAAGCTGTATGTTAACTTCAGATCCTTCTAACTTGATATAATAAGGGAAAATGGCCACTCTGAAGCAAATTCGGATGTAAGATGTTATTAAGATATAGTTGAATCATTTAAATTAATAGTCATTTAGTTTAGCTTTCCTATGCATTTAGGAATTGAAGGTAATGAAATTGTAAAAGTTGCTACTAGCTGGGGCACCTGTGTTTACAAAAAACAAAAAGATAGCGGGGTGGTGTATAGAAGATGTCAAGTAGATGGAAGCCACAAAAGAATTATAATACTACATAGATCTGTGGCCTTCTATTGATGTGATGTCTTGATTAATTATAGGAGGGTATATGAGACCAGCAGAGGTGTGGGATAAGTGTATTTTATATGAAGAAAGGTAGTAATGAGTAAATCAAGGCAGTCGCATAGAAGACTTGAACCCTAGGACGTGGTTCTCTCTGATCACACCTAGAATCTTGTTAGGGATCCATAGGCAATAATACTGGGAATACAGAGGTAACCCACTGGAAGGCTCTTGCTGTCAGGATAAAGAAGTGAAACCCACGAAGCATGGTTCAGAAGAGAAGGATGACATGCGCATGTGTATTCCACAGTGGAGACAGTGTGGTGAGTAGACAAAGAGAAAATAAAAGGAAAAGACAGTACTTAGGAAGTAATGTGTATATCCAGGTGAGTTAAAAGAGAGGCTTACACTTCAAATAATGTAGGGATGAAAAGAAGGATACCCTACTGCAGGTGCTGTGGGCCATTAAGTGAAAAAGAAGATGATGATATGAATATGTTGAGTATGATGACCAGAAAAATTAACAGAAATAAAATAAGAACAAGGAACAGAAAAAATATAACAAAAGAAACTTAGCTGGAAACTTTTTTTCTGTTTTGTAAGTGAGACACTAAGAGATTCTCAGATTCCTTATTCATTCTACCTACGTTTATTCATTCTGCATGTTCTATAAGAATTTAGCAAACAATGTCTAAGTTTAAAGTAGAGATATAAATTTATTGAATTAATGGCTTTAGATACCATGATTATTATTTCCCTTCCATGGTAGCTCATGCCTGTAATCCTAACTTCTCAAGAGAAAATGAGATCTAAAGATCGAGGTTTAAAGCCAGCCTGGGCATGAAAGGCCATGAGACTTTTACTCCAATTAATTACCAAAAAAGCCAGAAGTGAAGCTATGGCTCAAGTGGCAGAGTACTAGCGTTGAGTGGAATAAAGCTCAAGGACGATGCCTGGGCCCTGAGTTCAAGCCCCAGTACTGGAACAAAACAAAACAAAGAAACCAAAAACCAGAATTTATAGTCTAGTATATTTGATGGAAGAAATAATGTGACACTTGAAAAGTACCCTAGAGTTGTGTGGACTTGGATTTCTCCTACATGGAAATGATTAAAGTCATACACAGAAGTAGCAAAAATATAGAAGGAAGAAATTTTCAGAGCAAAAGGAGTTGAAAGTAATGAAGGAAAATTCTGAGTAGCTAAATCTTTTGGGGAATTTCATGGTTAATGGGAAAATATGTGATAAAAATTCAAGCACCCATGCAGGATTAAGAGTTGTTTTTGTTTTTTTTTTTTTGTAAGAAATAGGGCATCTTGAATTTACCTTGATGAAAAACAAGGAACCAGTGAAGGAATATTCAAAATATAAAATAGAGGAATGGGCTGGATGCTGGTAGCTCATACCTGTAATCCTAACTACACAGGAGGCTGAGATCTGAGGATCGCTGTTCAAAGCCAGCCAGGGCAGGAAAGTCTGTGAGACTCTTATCTCCAATAAAACTCTTATCTCCAGAAAACTGAAAGTGGTTCTGTGGCTCAAGTGATAGAGTGCTAGCCTTGAGCTGAAGAGCTGAAGGACAGCACCCAGGCCCAGAGTTCAAATCCCATGACCAACAACAAAAAAAAAAAATAGAGGAATGGAAGAAGTTGTTTGCTGTTGTTGTTGTTTATTTGTTTTTTGAAAAATGTGGTTCTTAGTAGTGTGAAAAGAAAGAGAAGGGTTAATCTCAAGAAAAAAAGAAAGCCAAGGGCTGGGAAGGTGGCTCAGTGGTAGAGCGCTTGCCTTGCATGCCTGAGGCCCTGGGTTCGATTCCTCAGCACCACATAAGCAAAAAGAAAAAAAAAAGCTGGAAGTGGCACTGTGGCTCAAGTGGTAGAACGCTGGTTTTGAGCTGAAGAGCTGAGGGACAGCGCCCAGGCCCAGAGTTCAGGCCCCACGACTGGACCCAAAAAGAAAAAAAGAATGTCAAGATTTTCTACTTACTTTGAGTCTTATTTGAATCTAATGCTTGGACATACAAAAGACTAAAGAACCCATTGACTCAGATTTTTTTTCTCTTCCAGTACTGGGGTTTAAACTTAGGACCTTACATTTGCTAAGCAGGAACGGTAGCACTTAGACCACTCTGCCAGCTCCTGTTGCATTCTATTTGTTGTTGTTGTTGTTATGCCCCTGGGCCTTGAATTCAGGGCCTGGGCGGTAGCCCTAAACTTCTTTGCTCAACACTACTGCTCTACCACTTGAGATATACTTCCAGCTTTTTGGTGGTTATTTGGAGATAAGAGTCTCATGGCTGGTTTCAAACTGTGATCCTCAGATCTTAGCCTCCTGAGTAGCTAAGATTACAGGTGTGAGCCACAGGTACCCAAGCTATGTTCATTGTTTTTGACATTGGATCTAATTTTATAGGCTAGACCAGCATGGTATATGATCCTAGTATTTGTGCTAGCATAACAGGCCACTGTACTTAACCATTGATGGAGATGGAATCTTACAGACTCGTATGCCTAGGATGGTCTTAAATAGTGATTACCACCCTCTACATTCAAAATAATAGGACTATAGGCTTGAGGTACTGCTCCCAGGCTAATATTTCCTTAATTGCTTTACCCTTAAAGTTAAAGAAAATACAAATTCTTTATGCTTTTCTGTGTTATACAACTCAAAGACGCCTCACTCAAATGCTCAGTACGATGCACTTAAAAAATCTGTATGCCAGACTTGTTAAAAATGTTACCCTATAAGCCAAATGTCTCGTTGGGTAATAGCCAGTTCATTTAGATTTGTTAGACTGTGCTACTTTTCTGTTTAACCAGCTAATACAAACTGAGAGAAAACCACCAAAAGATCTTTGACTCCAGTTTTCGAGGTGATTTGCTAACATATCCCTATGTGTGCTTGGGTTACAGGGCTGCCAATTTATATTTCCTGTTCCTAGTTGTCCTGAACTGGGTACCCTTAGTAGAAGCCTTCCAAAAGGAAATTACTATGCTGCCTTTGGTGGTGGTCCTCACGATTATTGCAATTAAAGATGGCTTAGAAGATTACCGAAAATACAAAATTGACAAGCAAATCAACAACTTAGTAACTAAAGTTTACAACAGGTAAGTATCACTAAGGGATATGCAAATATTATTTGAAAGCGTGTCATGCTTTGTTTTGTTTTTTTCTCCTCTTAGATGTGTGTGACCAGGAACCTTTCTGTATTGTTATTGTTTTCAACGAATATTTCCTAAAATTCTACAGTGAATTCAATTCAGGTTCAAAGGGAAATTAAAGCCTTTATCAACCCAAGACTTTATAAAAGGAGAGTTTCTCTGGTTGAATTAAACTTCAGACCACAGAAGAGCAAGCAGGCCGGTGGTTTTTCAACACTGGCTGTGCAATTTAGGGTTAAGAACAGTATGATTTATGTAAGGCAGAAGTGAACTTGAAGTGATGTAAAGAATGAGTGGGATGTGACAAGAGAAGGCAGGAGACTGCATATGGGGGAAAAGGGAATTGCAAAGGACAGAGAAGAGTGTTCTACTTGGTGCACAAAGCCTGGAGCTTCTTCTATTCAGGAGTGTATTTACTGTTGGAGACCTGTATTTCCAGTATTTATGAAATAGGAAGTCTACATAGCCAAGCATAAACATGATGAGTATTGAACCATGTCATATATTCTATGAAGCTCCAGTTAATATTTAGTCAACAATGGAGATGTCTTCAATCTTAGGGGAGCCACGGAGAAAAAGATTACAGGAGGAGTCTGTACAAATATTGTAATTAGTTGAATTCTCAGATAAGATGACTATTGATTTGGAAGGTTATTTCATTCACTGATAATTTGAGGCCGATCATTTTTTATGGTGAAATAATGATGTTTTAAAAATATATGACCTGTGGTTATTACATTTCATCATGTCTTCTATTATTATTCAGCCTCTTGGCTGGACCAGAAGCTCTCTGAGAAGAGACCACATGTCTTACCTTCTTTCCCCAGGCCCCTGGTACTCCAAGCACAGGTCAGCATGCAAGAATCACTCTGCATATAAACCCATTTAAACCCCTCTGTAATTTCATTCTAGAATTATACTCAATTAGCAAAGCATTTCAAAAGTCTCAGAGGGAAAACTTGGAAAAGCCCATTTGAGTTGTTTATGAACTGAGTTTCCAGATGAGTCACGTGTGGAATTTTGTAGCTTCTCTTTTGACATTTTATCGAAAATGATTGGATGTGTGCACTAAGTTTAACAAAAAAATTACATGTTTCAGTTTTCCACAACTCTTCCCACCCTTCCCACCCCCATTTTAGGAAGGAGAAAAAGTACATGGACTGTTGCTGGAAAAATGTCACTGTTGGGGACTTCATTCGCCTCTCCTGTAATGAAATCATCCCTGCAGATATGGTGTTACTCTTTTCCAGTGATCCTGATGGAATCTGTCACATCGAAACTTCCAGCCTTGATGGAGAAAGCAATTTAAAACAGAGGCAGGTGGTACGGGGGTATGCAGAGCAGGTAAACAATGTTCTTGGATGTTGATTAATTAACCTTCTTTTCTCTCCCCAGGAAATGGCTGGGTTCATTTCCATAGTACAGATAAAGAGATTTTTTAAAATTAGGTGTTTCTTTTTTTGTTACTGACAACACAATCTCAGTTTTAATAAGTTTCTAGATATCAGTAGACTTTTACTATATTTTGTAGATAACAGGATTAAATGACTTTGGAGCTCAAACACTTCTGTCTTCAGTCACTTTTTGGAACTAAATTAAGAAACCTTGATAGAAGGAAACTACCACAAAAGCAACCACCTGCTAATTTATTCTTCTTAATCTTAAATATTCATTAGTATATAGTTGGATCATTGCTCCTAAAATATATCATAACGTGTTCCAAAGCCTTTGAAAACTTTCCTAGCCTCTTAGGTCACATAACTTTGAGACCTGTTACCTTGCTATATTAAGGGGAGGGAGAAATTAGAAGTTATTATGACATAAATTTGTGTTTATCTTAGCTCTGACATTCATAACTATGGGTTTGGGCAAGTTATTCTAATGTTTTATGCCTCTGCTTCCTTATCCTAAAATGGAAATGATACTATTTCCTTTCCAATGTTTTTGTAAGATTCAACCACATTAGGTATAGTGCTTAATAGCTGCATCTTTTCTTTGCATCTCAAATCACTTGAGATGAACTATTTTAAAATGTAGTGATCTTACATTTAAACCTGAGCTACTAATAAGTTGAGGTTCCTTCACCTGGTCCATTCAAAAAATGTTTTAGCCTCTTCCTACCCTTATCTTTAGTACATTTCACATGGGGTGCATCTTTCTTCCTGTGGATTTTACATAGACCGTCTGATTAACATGCCTCTCAGTTTAGAGCCGCTGATACTTTTATAAACAGTCCCGCTCCTAAAATTGGAATTTGGTTATGCCACTGGAGATGATATAAATTATTAATTGGTATTGCTTGCCTGTAATGTGAGTGCTGTAGAACCCAGTGACCTCTATAGTAATTCTGGGCTAACCACCTTTTGAGAACTTTGGTGCATTATGTGATCCTTGTTGTTTCTTTTTTTCATATTTTAAAAAATTATTAATAAGTTTTTTATTGTAAAAATACCATACAGAGAGGTTACAATTACACGAGCAAGGAAATGAGTACATTTCATATCAAGCATTGTTGCCTCCTCCTTTGTTTCCCCTTACCATCCCTGCCCTCCCATCCCCACCCCCAAAGTTGTAAAGTTTGTTCTTCGACATAGCATCTTGTACATCTCATTGTTGCAATGGGTCCAACTGTATCCCTATTTAAAGAATTTGCTTTTTCCCTTCCCCTCTCCAAATTATACCAACATCAAGTACAGTGAAAACAGGGGTTATACCATGGGGGAGGGACATATGTTAGAAACAATAGCAAGAAAGAAAAACCATTTGAGTCCTTATTTTGGGGTTCATTTCACCTAAGATCAACTTATCTGACCTTTTCTGCTTGTCTCAGACACATACTAGTTTGCAAATAAGGGAGACTATGGGACCTATGTTCTTTGGGCTTGGCTTACTTCACTTAATAATATAATTTTTTCCAAGTCTTTCCATTTCCTAACAAAGCTGCCAGCATAACTGTGCTTATTGCAGCATTATTTACCATAGCTAAGATATGGAACCAACCCAGATGCCCCTCAGTAGATGAATGGATCAAAAAAATGTGGTATATATACACAATGGAATTCTATGCCTCCATCAGAAAGAATAACATTGCCTCATTTGTTAGGAAATGGAAAGACTTGGAAAAAAATATGTTAAGTGAAGTAAGCCAGGCCCAAAGAAACATAGGTCCCATAGTTTCCCTTATTTGCAATAACTAGTATATGTCTGAGACAAGCAGAAAAGGTCAGATAAGTTGATCTTAGGTGAAATGAACCCCAAGATAAGTATTTAAATGTTTTTTTCTTTCTTGCGATTGTTTCTAACATATTTATAAGATGATTTCTTTGTTGCTTTGTATGTCCCTCCCCCACAGTATAACCCCTGCTTTCATTGTATTTGATGTTGGTATAATTAGTGGAGGGGAAGAGCAAAAACAAACCGTTTAAATAGAGATACAGGTAGACCCATTGCAACAATGAGATGTACAAGTCATTATGTTGAAAAACGAACTTTACAACTTTGGCCGGGCAGGGGCAGAGCGGGGCAGGGAGATGGGAAAGGATGGGAAGGGGAACAAAGGAGGAGGCTACAATGCTTGATAAGAAATGTACTCGTTATCTTGCCCGTGTAATTGTAACCCCTCTGTACGGTATTTTCACAATAAAAATATTTTTTAAAATGTGGTATATATACACAATGGAATTCTATGCCTCCATCAGAAAGAATGATCCTTGTTGTTTCTATCTTTACTATTCTGTTAAGTAGGCCAAATTGCAGTGCATACCTTCATGGGACTCTGAAAAAGAGATCAATTAACACATTTAAAGTACATAATGTGGATTCTACTCTACAAAAAGAACACAATATTGCAGCTGGGAAGGTGGCTCAGTGGTAGAGCGCTTGCCTTGCATGCATGAGGCCCTGGGTTCCATTCTTCAGCACCACATAAGCAAAAAGAAAAAAGCCGGAAGTAGCGCTGTGGCTCAAGTGGTAGAGTGCTAGCCTTGAGCTGAAGAGCTGAGGGATAGCGCCCAGGCCCAGAGTTCAGGCCCCATGACCACCACCACCAACAACAGAAAAGAATTAATGAAAGTGCTAAAATGCTTAATTATCAGACTGCCATTGCTTTAATCTGAAATTCTTCTTGTTTTGTGATTTTTGAAATTTTTTTTTTTTTAGGACTCTGAAGTTGATCCCGAGAAATTTTCCAGTAGGATAGAGTGTGAAAGTCCAAACAATGACCTCAACAGATTCCGAGGCTTCCTGTGAGTGACAAGTGACACTTTGGGGGGCATAGTGAACTTGGCTTAATTCAGTAAAAGTTATGTGTACTTACCACCAAGCTAAGTCATTACAGGACACAAATCAGCCATCTGTGTATTGGTTTACCAAAATAATTTAATAAGTCTTTGTCTCTCTGTCTATATTTACTTAAAGCAATAGCAACATGCTGGGTGCTGGTGGCTTACACCTGTATTTCTAGCTACTCAGAAGCTTGAGATCTGAGAGTCCTGGTTCAAAGCCAGCCCAAGCAGGAAAGTCCATGAGACTCTTATCTCTAATAAACTACTCAGAAAAGGCTGGAAGTGGTGCTGTGGCTCAAGTGGTAGAATGCTAGCTTTCAGCACAGATACTCAGGGACAGAGCTTAATTAGGCCCTGAGTTCAAGCCCTAGGACCACCAAAAACATCCCCCCAAACAACAACAACAACAAAAACAATGGCAACAATAACATTTCTTTATTAAAAATCTTAACCCCCTCCGGTGGTATAGTAATATCTTACATAAACTCCATACTCTTTCCTTTTGAGACATAATCTTTCCTTTTCACTATGTAGTTCAGACCAGCCTCAGAATTTTTGTGATTCTCCTGTCTCAGCCTCCCAAGTACTGGGATTGCAGTTGTACACCACCAGGCTTAGCTTCATGAGCTCTAAGCCTGAGACATTACTGTTGGGAAAGAAGTGTTTGGACTATAAAGTGGCAGGTTGAGTGATGGCCTTCTGTCGAATTAGAGTACCAGATAAGCTGTTATATTTAGCAAAAGTGAGCCAGTGATTTGAACACTTGTTTAAGAGCATCGAAGGCTTTCTGTAGCATTCATATCCTTTGTGCAAGGGCAGTTAGACATTAGATCATGTCAAATTTAAAGCTTGGCTTTTGCCACTTAGTGCTTTATGACTCTAAGCCAAGTCAAGCTATTTATTCTCTTTGATCCTTTGTTTTCTGATTTTTACAAGGAAGCAATTAGACATATTTCATTTTAGTAACTTACAGAAAGAGGCAAATTAACAACTCATTTCTTGTGACCAGAATTGTCTTCATCCATTTGCTCTAATTCAAAGGCATTTAAGAAAAAACTAATGTCCTTTGTGAACATAAATGTAAATATTGTACTCCAAATTATAGCAAATTAAATCTAATAATGCTTAAAAAATGTAACACTTCACAACCTAGTAGGGCTTATCCCAAAATGCAAGATTGATTTAACATTACAAAAGGGTAACAGAGTATTAATACTATATTAATAAAAGATATTCAGCAAATTCAGAAAGAAAAGGAAAAGCAGATAGTTATCTCATAGATAGAGAAACATGATTTGGCAAAGTTTAGCTTCCGTTTCTGAAAAGAGGGACTAGGAAGGAACATTCTCAACTTAAAAAGGGATATATATACAAATAGCCTATAGCTAGCATCATGCTTAGTGTTGAAATATTATTACCTGTGCCCTAAGGCCAAGAGCAAGCATGAATACCTGCTCACACTGCTTTTATTCAAGCTTATAATAGATGTTCAAGCTATTTCCAGCAGGTAAAAAGATTTTCTTTGTAGAAAATCTGATGAAATTACAGATTTTTTTTAATGGCTACAAAAAAACTATTCAAACTAAGAAGTGAGTTTAACAGTATTATAGGAAACAAGATCAGTACACCCAAATAAATTCTGCTTCTGTATATTATGAACAATTAGATATCACAAAGCTTTTAAATATTATTTATAAACCAATTCATGGAAAACTGAGTTCACATTCTATACTGAGCTGATGCCTCCTCCTTCCAACTTTCCTTCCCCTTGCTGATCTCTTCCCACTAAACACACATATGTATAACATTCATTTCTTGAATAAGCAAAGTCATTTGACCTGTATAGATTCCCACATTTTGGATCTGGTTGACTGCGTATTTGCAGTGATGTTTAACATGTCTCTTTGGCCCTCTTATTTTTTGTCAGTCATCAAGTGACACTTTCAGAATATTATGAAAGAAATGGATTCTCTCCCTGGAAAAATAGCACATGCGCACATGTGTGCACACACACACACATTATTGCACATCATTCATAGATCTTCTGAAGCTACATGTCTTGGACTTTAATGTACTCATAGAGACTTATATGCCCATAACTTTCTTTTCCATACACTAGGAAGGCCATACATTTAGGATGCCCATGGTCAAATTGATGCTCTAACCTAACTTTCTCATTGTGAAGTTCCTTATTGGACTTTTACCTGATGACTTAAGCAATCACCAATTACTCTTTCCTGAGCTGATCCTTGATCTTAGCCAGGTTGAAAATAATTGTATTAAGAATTTTTCCCTACTAACGGTTGTTAATACAGTGCATACTTGAAGAACAGGATCCTTATTTGGAATATTTCTGAGTTCTTGTACTAACTGACAAACAATGACAACTAAAAAAAGCAAAGGGAAGTAGAAACTCCAGCCAAAGCAGGAAACTAAGAAAACAAAAGCAAATAAGGGAAACCATGGGATCTATGTTTCTTTGGGCCTGGTTTATTTCACATAATATACTGCTTTTACTATATTTGATGTTGGTATAATTTGTGGAGGGGAAGGGGAAAAAATTGTTTAAATAGGGATATGGGTGGACCTATTGAAGCCATGAGATGTACAAGTCCTAATGATGAAAAATGAACTTTACAACTGTGGCCTGGTGGGGCCGGAGGTGGGGGTGGGGGTGGGGTGGATGAGAAGGGATGGGAAAGGGGAAACAAAGGAGGAGGCAACAATGCTTGATAAGAAATGTAATCATTACCTTGCCCATGTAATTGTAACCCCTCTATACGGTATTTTCACAATAAAAAAACAAAAGCAAAAATAAAAAACAAAAGCAAAAGGGCCAGAAACTTAAAACCATTCCTGTAAACTAATTTATTATTCAGAGTCAAGAACATTCAAGTGCCACAATTTTTATCTTTATACTCAACATTTGCCATTTTAAAAATAAACTAGTTTACTGTCGTTTTTTATAGAGAGCATCCCAGCAAAGAACGTGTGGGCCTCGGCAAAGAAAACTTATTGCTGAGAGGGTGCACCATTAGAAACACAGAAGCAGTGGTGGGCATTGTGGTTTATGCAGGTTGGTTATACTTCTGCGTTTCATCAGTCTTCTCTCTGCTTTAATACAAATTAACATTTTCATTTACTCAAGACTACAGTCTGTGGAAGCACAAAGTAAACTTTGTCTTGATAAACTTAATCACTGTTTTCTTTTTCCACAAAAGCTGAATAAACTGACCAAAATACTTTATGTGCTCTTAAATTATCTTCTGTAACTATTTTTTTTAAATGATGTTTGCTACCTGGTTTTAATGTACATTTTTGGATATCCTGTGTTTCCTACACAGGCCATGAAACCAAAGCAATGCTGAACAATAGTGGACCAAGGTATAAGCGCAGTAAATTAGAAAGAAGAACAAATATAGATGTTCTGTGGTGTGTCCTGCTTCTGCTTATAATGTGTTTAACTGGTGCCCTGGGTAGGTAAAATCTGTTGTTGTTGTTGTTGTTGTGTGTATATTTAACATCTTTTTGCCAAGATACGATTTTTTTCAAAATGATGTTTGTGAATGTTCAGATTCTGTAAAGGAAGCTTTTATTTGCCTCTTCATCTATTAGCCTGAAAAACATTAATAGTGACTGTCTATTTATTCTTTGCCATGGTACTGAAGGAATCTGGGAAACAATCTAGAGAAAGACAGAGACAAAAACCTTTGAATTTTAACCTGTTTCCCCCAAACAAAATTAATAAATATTCTCTTTTTCCTTCCTAAGGAATAAAGTTCTATATTGTTTTAATATCTGTGTGTGTTTTTGAAAGGTCATGGAATCTGGTTGAGCAGATATGAAAACATATTTTTTAACATTCCTGAGCCTGATGGACATGTCATATCACCAGTGTTGGCAGGATTTTATATGTTTTGGACCATGATCATTTTATTACAGGTAATCCCTGTCAAATTTACCATGAAATTTTATGGGTTTTGCTTCTTTTCCAGCTACCTTCAGCTATAGCCACTTTCTCTAGCCTACTTTAACATTTTCTTGTTTGTGTCTTCTTAGGTCTTGATTCCTATTTCTCTTTATGTTTCAATTGAAATTGTGAAGCTTGGACAAATATATTTCATTCAAAGTGATGTGGATTTTTATAATGAGAAAATGGATTCTACTATTCAGTGCCGTGCCTTGAACATCACTGAGGATCTTGGACAAATTCAGTACCTCTTTTCTGATAAAACAGGAACCCTCACTGAGAATAAGATGGTTTTTCGAAGGTGTAGTGTTGCAGGATTTGATTATTGCCATGAAGAAAATGGTGAGTATTGGGTTTCTAAAAAAAACTATTTATCACATAAGTGTTTTTTGTTTGTTTGTTTTTGAAGCCTTTTAAATTCCTAATCTGGCCTGGGAGTGCTTTACTTAAGTAGTGGGTGCTCAGCTTAAATAGTTGACCTTGATGCTACATTGTTTTTCTTTTAAAAAGTTAGTAAACATTAAGTTTTATGCTACTAGATTATACAATAATAGATATAAACAATAACTGACACTATAAGATAGATACTCAGCATTTGTTTTGCTTATTATTATATCTTTTAGTATCATTTGGTGTCTTTAACATTTCCATTATAAAAATGTTATTTAATAACATTCTTATGCAGTTTAATATTCCTATTATATTTAAATATTTATATTTTTACAAATTTGCAGAACCATTTCACATTTGTACAATTGTTTTATTCAGTACTGCATTAGTTTTATTGAAAAATATGCATATAACCTCATCAAAAATTTAGTAGGTAAAGAATATACTGCTTTGGGTTCTTTTTTTTTGGCCAGTCCTGGGGCTTTAACTCAGGACCTGGGCACTGTCCCTGAGCTTCTTTTGCTTAAGACTAGCACTCTAGTGCTTGAGTTACTTCTGGCTTTTTCTTTTCTTTTTTTTTTTTTTTAAGGCTTCTTTTATTTTTTTTTGGATCAGGTCGTGGGGCCTGAACTCTGGGCCTGGGCACTGTCCCTCAGCTCTTCAGCTCAAGGCTAGTGCTCTACCACTTGAGCCACAGCGCCACTTCTGGCTTTTTTTCTTTTTGCTTATGTGGTGCTGAGGAATCGAACCCAGGGCCTCATGCATGCAAGGCAAGCGCTCTACCACTGAGCCACCTTCCCAGCCCGCTTCTGGCTTTTCTGTTTATGTGGTATTGTGGAATCAAATCCAGGGCTTCATGCATGCTAGGCAAGCACTCTACCACTAAGCCACATTCCCAGCCAGTTCTTGCTAAAAGTAAAGTAAGTTACCAATCGAGATTGGGAGAGTAGTAGTGCTATGCACTGTAGAAATTTGCAAGGAGCCAGTGAAACTGTAAGAGATCTGAAAAAATATTTTTGAGAATAATTCTAAAGGGATTCCAGGTTCCTACCATTTAGCTTCTAGCTATCTACTAATGCTTGGTAAACAACAGCTAGTTGAAGAATTAGTAACATGAGATGAGCTTCTAACTTCAAGTAAAATTTTGAATTTTAAATTTTCTTTGAAGAATTGAACTTTACTTAATTTTGTTCTTTATAAAAATAAGATGTGTTCCTGTCAATATAATTCAGAGAAGTGAACTTTCAAAACAAATTAAAACTCCTATTCATTTATAATTGGGTAATGACTTAACCCTCATTAATAATTGGTTAATACCTCTCTCTCTCTATATATATATTGCCATTCATTCTTTTATGCAGATTTCTCTACAAGGAACATTAAAGCTCTGTTTTGCAGTTTGTCTTACTCAACAATGTCACGTGGTTTTTTCCTAAGTCAGTTTATAACCATGTGAAGAGCATAATCTTCTATTGTATGTGCTCAGGCCTAGTTAGCTGTGCCTTTTTGGCCATTACAGATTCAGTAATTTCTATCTGAAGTATTTGGGATCAGAAATGTTTCAAAAATTGTTTTTTCATTATTTACGCATATCTCAACATATTGAGTTGTCTTGGGAATGGAACCCAATTTGTTTGTATTCATATGTGCCATATAAACACAGCCTGAAAATAAATTTAGACAATATTTGTTCTGTGTGTGTGTGTGTGTGTGTGTGTGTGTGTGTGTGTGTGTGTGTGTGTGTGTGTCTGTGCTTGGTCTGGGCCTTGAACTCAGGGTCTGGCACTGTCCTGAGCTTTTTTGCTCAAGATTAATGCTCTACCACTTGAACCACAGCTCCACATCTTGCTTTTTTGGTGGTTAATGGAGATAACAGTTTCGGGAATTTCCTGCCCATTCTGGCTTTGGACCACAATCCTCACATCTCAGCCTCCTGAGAAGCTAGGATTATGGACATAAGCAACCATGTACTGCATTAAAAAAAGTATCTTTAAGTAGTTGTTCAGCATTTTTAAGTTTCTGTTTCCTAGAATCCTTGAGCACTGGTTCCTCTTTTTAGAAAATATTTTGTTTGAGGCCTTTTTTTTGGCTCTCTTGTAGAGCTCATTGAAAAAGTATGGTAAACATTTTGTCCCACAGGACTTAGTCTTAATGTTGTCTGGATAGCAGATCAAAGCAAGTAGTACACTATACATAGGTTTGGAGATATTTGAGAAAGGGATGGGAAAAGAAAACAGATCAAACAAGGAAAAGAAAACAATTTGATACCTCACCCAGGGCCTACCTTTAGACACACAGAAGAGATCCCAGACATTGTATGTTTCCTCTTAGGAGTCAGAAAGCAAGATTCTTGGCCCACTTTGAGGCGTTCATAGAACTAACTAGAGCCTACCTTAAGAGAGGTATAAAAATCTCCATTACCAATCAGATACATTTTGTTTATTAATTAGATGATAAATCTTGGCTTTTATAAACTCTTCCCTGGGCCTGGAAGTATAGTTCCAATAGCTTTGTTTTCTGAATCACGGTGTAACTCACCTTGCTCGTTTACTTGTCCTAGCTTTCCCAGAATGACTAAAAGCTGACTCATTCATTGCTGTCTCCATGCTATTCTTGCAGTTGTACTTGTTGAGAAAGTTTGTCCTCCAGTAAAAGCTGACCCACCTGGTATCGTTCTCCTTACCCAATTGTGTGGTGCCTGCCTTGTCTAATGATGACTAAGAGAAGCTGCATGAACCATTAACTTCATTTCTGTAGAACTTGAAGTATTTATTTCTAAAATGGCATCACCAACACATTTCTTGAGCTACTCAAGGATTTATCAGTCTCAGCACTGTTGATAGGGCCTGGGCACTGTCCCTGAGCTTCTTTTGCTCAAGACTAATGCTGTACCACTCACACCAAACCAGAGCTCCACTTCTAGCTTTTGGGGGAGAGTAATGGGATTGGTAGTTTACTCGAGATAAGAGTCTTGTGGACTTTTCTGCCTGGGCTGGCTTCAAACTGTGATCCTTAGACCTTAGCTTCTTGAGTAGGTAGGATTACAGGCATGAGCCTTCAGCCCAGCAGTGGGCTTGCACATTGAAAGATGTTTGTTTACAAGTGTCCTTGGCTTCTACCAACTGATGTCCAGTAGCAGCTGCTCCCCAGTTACAACAGCCCACTGTATGTACAACCCTTGCCAATAGTTCCTAAGGGATAAACCTGCTATATACAATTTAGTCTTAAGGAGTTATGATATGATGGATAAACACATTGGCTCTGGAATCAGAAAGACTTAAGTTCAACTCCCTTTTCTACCTCCAACCACCTGTTTAATCATGGTTAAAGTACTTAATCTCTCTGGGTGTTAATTTTCTTAGCTGCAGAGAAAAGCAATAGCAGTTTCTACATGATGGCATTATGTTGAAGCTGGATATATATATACATATATATATATATACTGATAAATATTCATATTCACATGTATATATGAACATTTAAAAAAAAAGAAAGCCAGGCACTGATGGCTCATGCCTGTAATCCTAGCTAGACCAGGTAGAAAAGACCCCAATTAGACTTATCTCCAATGAACAACTTAAAAATTGGAAGTGGAGCTTCAAAGTGGTGGCATGCTAGTCTTGAGCAAAAGAGCTCAGAGACAGCACCCAGGCCTTGAGTTCAAGCCCCATGACTAACCAAAACAAAACAAAACAAAAACTTCAATAGGGCCGGGCACAGTGGCTTGTACCTATAATCCCAGCTACTTGGAGACTGGGATGATTGGAATTCAAAGCCAGAGGAAAAAAATTAATAAGATCCAATCTCAATCAGTAAAATCAGGTAAGATGATTGTACCTGTGGTCCTAGGTACGTGAGAAGCCGTAGATAGGAGGATTGAAATCTTGATGCTGGCCCTGGGCAAATGTGTGAGATCCTACCTGATATATAATTAAAGCGGTAAAGGGCTGAGGCCATGAATTAAGTGCTAGAGAACCCACCTAGCAAGCACAAAGTCCAAGGTTTAAACCCTAGGTTAAATTCCCCCTTCACCCTCCACAAACATCAAAAAAGAATACACTAAAGACTGATATATGTTGCTGTTGGACTTTACAATGTAGAGTTACTGGTGAGCCTGACAAGAGTAATGTCAGTGAAGAGATGGGAAGAAAGTTCTAAAATTGCTTATGGACAAATTGGTGTAAACAGAATTGGTGAAAGCAGAATTGCAAAGATGATATTCTTGAAGAATCCGGAGGATGGGACGCAGGTCACGAGAGGAGGGCTTGACAGTTGAAACAAGGCAGAGGCTGAGTACAGACGAAGAAAAGTGTGGGATGTCATGATGGGAAAAAAGGGAATTTCTGTCTTTGTCCAGCTTTCTCAATAAGGTGAGATGTAAGTGTATTAATTTAAGGGTACAGATGGAGCTTTAGGAGGCCAGGTTTGAAAGGAGAGGAGGTGGATGATCACTGATTCTTGAAGTAACTTCCTGACACATTCAGTTGTTAGTTGTTCCTCTCAGATGATGACCCAATGTGATTTTTCTGTTCTTCAGCCAAGAGGCTAGAGTCCTATCTGGAAGCTGTCTCTGACAATGAGGATTGTACAGATGCTCTGAATGGCTCCCTCAGCAATATGGTGACACCAAGAGCCCACGGCTGCAGGACGGTTCACAATGGGCCCTTGGGGAGCAAGCCCTCAAATCAGCTTTCTGGCAGCACTTACGCTGTAGGAAGTGGAGAAGGAGCCAGTGAAGTGCCCCATTCCAGACAGGCTGCTTTCAGTAGCCCCATTGTAAGTGTGAATGCATGTCCATGCGCGTCTCCAACGCATGCTCCAACAACAGCCTTATAGGTATCACAGAGCCCAACACTGCTGCTTTCTTTTCTACGAGACAACACATAATGGCAGTTCAGCATAATGGTGACACACGATAGAAAAGTATAAACTAATAGCACAAACTTTTTAATTATTTAAAACAATAATTCACTGTTGAGAAGTCAGGTGTGTCCTGTCTGAAAAATATATTTCTGATCAGGGATGATAATGTCTGAGTGAAAATGAAAATGGCTGCCTTAATTTAAGGTTCATGGCTCACTCTCAGAACCACCAAAGCATATCAGGATTATCTCAGAGACAGGTAAGTGTGTCTGAGGCCTTGTGATGTCCATAAAAAACCATTTTTTATTACACTGTAATCTGCCTTCTATATTCCTCCAAAACCAGATCCCCATTCCATACCCCAAGAGTATGGACTCCTGTTATGCAGGTGTTGTATTTAGGTAGAAATGTGGAGGTGCGTGGTGACATCAGATAAAGTGCACATGTGAAATTGTTTGTGAGCCACATAACCTGGCTGAAAGTGAGCACATGTCATATAAGAAGGAAGGAAAAGGAACATTACATTACTCATACTGGTCCCATTTCAGCCACTACCTCATTTACATTGCACAACCACCCTGGGAGACAAGTGTTCTTTTTGCCATTATATGGAAGAGGGTAATGAAGCTCGGAGGGTTTAAGTAAACTATCTGAGGTCCCAGTTCATATTCAGTGGAGCTAAGATGGAATCCAAGCTGTCTCATTCCCACCATAAGCTCTTTTCTTATTTTAAATCTTTGCTAACTCTCACCAAACGCCAAGACCTAAGTATCTTCAGGATGTAGTATTACACATTCTCAGTATTTTTGTCTTTTCTCAAAAATCACCTCTCCTGGCTTCTCTGGGGCCAGTTACTCTGTGTCCAGGACTTTCCTGCAGCACAGTGCTTCTTTTCTATAACCTTGACCCAGAGCAGGTAATCCTTCCTGGACTGAGCTTAAATGTTTCTGGATTATAATCCAATTTCTACTATGACACTTTTGTGAAAAGAAGTACTTTCAAGTAAGTCAGAGAAGCACTGTGTTATACAAAATGGCATGCTTTTATTTTTCTTAAGAATAGAACTGATTAGGCAAATCTTTCTTAAAATCCTTAAAAGGGGAGCATGGATGTCAAAAATTATTTGGTGATGTGAAATCTCCTGGAAATACCCTTGCTCATGTCTTGTGTGATATTCCTGGGAAATACTGGCTAGACCTAACAATCTGCTTGTGCTGACTTTTATTTTGAAGATTTTTTTTTACAAGAGTGATAACTTTTTTTTTGTTTGTTTTGTTTTTTTGTTTTTTGGTCTGGTCATGGGGCCTGAACTCTGGGCCTGGGCGCTGTCCCTCAGCTCTTCAGCTCAAGGCTAGCGCTCTACCACTTGAGCCACAGCGCCACTTCCGGCTTTTTTCTTTTTGCTTATGTGGTGCTGAGGAATCGAACCCAGGGCCTCTGGCATGCAAGGCATGCGCTCTACCACTGAGCCACCTTCCCAGCCCCAAGAGTGGTAAATTTTGAAGAACAAAAATATTTTGTTAAAATAATCGAATGTGCAAAGTTGGTGTCTCTTTGGACTTTAAAAATGTTCCTATGCAGCTTATTTTATTTTTGTTTAATCAAATAAACGAGAGGGTTTTTTCCATGGAAAAAAAAATAAAAAAATAAAATAATCGAATGTGGATACTAGCCTCACTTTAAAAAGAAATGGTACTCATTAGTTATTTGGGGGTAAATTTATAGCTAAGGTTTAATTTTGGCAATAAAATACAAAATATATGTATACTTGATGTGTGTGCATATATATATATATATATATATATATACATACATATATGACACTATATTTCAAAGGGAGAAACAATAGTCAACTAGATCTTGGTAGAAAACCATGTTTGTACCTCCCAGTTTAATGATTCAGGTAGTTTCTTTTTTTTTTTTTTTATTGTGAAAATGCTGTACAGAGGGGTTACAATTACATGGGCAAGATAATGAGTACATTTCTTATCAAGCATTGTAGCCTCCTCCTTTGTTTCCCCTTCCCATCCCTTCCAATCCTCCCCCTGCCCCCCCCATCCTCCCCGCTCCCCCCCCTCCCCCACACCAAAGTTGTAAAGTTCGTTTTCGACATAACGACTTGTACATCTCATTGTTGCAATGGGTCCATTTAAACGAATTGTTTTTCCCCTTCCCCTCCACAAATTATAACGCATCAAATACAGTGAAAGCAGGGGTTATACTGTGGGGGAGGGACATACAAAGCAACAAAGAAATAATCTTATAAATGTGTTAGAAACAATCGCATGAAAGAAAAAAGACATTTGAATACATATCTAAGGGTTCATTTCCCTAACATCACCTTATCTGACCTTTTCTGCTTGACTCAGACATATACTAGATATTGCAAATAAGGGAAACCATGGGACCTATGTTTCTTTGGGCTTGGCTTACTTCACTTAATATAATTTTTTCCAAGTCTTTCCATTTCCTAACAAATGGGGCAATGTCAGGTAGTTTCTTAAACATCCAGTAACTAATTATTTTATTTTCCTATTGTCACTTACCGCAGTAGTATACATACATGAACTTCTTATGTTGATAACAACCTTTTGTCTTATTGGCTCATAGGAAACCGATGTGGTCCCAGACACCAGGCTTTTGAACAAATTTAGTCAGATTACGCCTCAGCTCTTTACCCAACTAGATGAGGCCATCCACAGTCCACCCCTGGAGATCTTGTACATCATGGACTTCTTTATTGCATTGGCAATTTGCAACACTGTAGTAGTTTCTGCTCCTAACCAACCACGACAAAAGGTAAAGTCTTCAGCACAAACAAGCCTCATTTCTGCTGGGGAGTGGTTGACGTTGACATGTATCTGTGCTGATCTTGTTTCGCTAAAATAATAATCAGAAGTATATAACACTCAGTCAGTACTTACTTTTGGGCTTTCACTTAACAAGGTCTACGCTTAGTGTTTAGTCCTGCCAGCAACCCTTTGCGCTAAATATACTGTCTGCCATCATGATTTTTGCCCCGATTTTCAGACTCATGTTAAAATATTTGTTCAGGGTCACAAAACCACTTTGTGGGGGAGGTGACCTTGAGCCTAAAAAGTATGTATGGCTCATTGGTTAGTATTATTTGCCTATAGAAGGCAGTTGGTGAAGCTATTCATTTTTGCTTTTATTTCCTTACCAGATAGAAATTTTCTCTGAGACTTTGAGACACCCCCCCCCCAATATTATATGTTTTAAATTAAACAAAATGTAAAGCATTAGATTCATTGTTATAGTTAGTGGTAATTTACCTTTTTCATGTACCAGTTGGGTTAGTTTTATATCAGTCTATCTGAAGTCGAATGTGTATATAATATACCAATATTTACAGTTCTTATCATTTCTTTTTGGTGGCACCAGAGATTGAATTTAGCTCTTTGCACCTGCTAGACAAGCACTCTATCATTCTTTTTGTCCTGTTTTCTTTAGCTTGTTTTCAGATATAGTCTCACACATTTGCCCAACTATCCTTAGATTGTGATCTTCCTCCCTCTACTACGTTACCAGTAGTTGAGATTACATACATACCCTACCATGCTCAGCCCCAAATGTTGGATTTTTAAAGTCTAGTTGCAGCTTTGAATTCATTCCCAATTAAGAAGAAAAGGTTGTTTCAGAAGCTGGTGATTTACCACTTGGCTGTGCTGGCTTCCTGGTATATGATTATTTTCTCTTTTCCACACATCCACTTAAAATTCAATTTGCAATAGAAGCAATTAAATTTTAATTTTCCATCAGATCATTTTCTTTTGGCAACTTCAGGGGTGGTCAACTTTAACATAAAAGTAATTTATTTCCAATTAAGCAGCATTTGATCAGAAACTATTTTTACAAGGTGTTAACTAGAAAGTTGCCCTTTGAAAAGTGATTAGGTAGTTAAAGATGCTTTTTATTTTTTCTATATAATATTTTTAAAATATCTCTTTCTGAACATGATACCTCTTGGTGTTTTCTGTTGCTTTAGTCCCAAAAGATATATTCTACTATCTGAAAGAGAATCTCTGTAGGTATGAATAGTTTTTTGCGTTTTCAAGGTAATGACAGAAAAGCAGTAAATGGTTACTAATTAGAATTCATATGAAATATAGAACCTCACCTGTGATTAGTAGCTTGTATTCTTTTTGTTTTTGAGTTGTGGAGAACTTCGAAAATTGTCCAGAATGAAACCCCCAAGTTATGGTATAGCTAGTCATGTTTTCGGAGAAGCATTGTAGATTTCCTTGACATTTCTGAATAAGCGAATTCTAGACTCAAGCTTTTGTGTGTGTGTGTGTGCCTATACCAGGCCTTGAACCCTCATTCAACTTTCTTGCATATGATTGGTTGTTCTGTAGCTTGAGCCTCCACACCTGCAGTCTAGCATTTTGCTGGGTATTTTAGAGATAGTTCCATGGAATTTTCTGCCTGAACTAACTGGAAACCAAGGCTTCTCAGATTTTAGCTTTTGAGTAAGCCAGGATTAAAGGTGTAAGCGGAGACTGGGCTTTGCTTCTCTTTTCTCTCCTCTCCTCTCCTCTTCTCTTCTTCTTCCTCCTCCTCCTCCCCCTTCCACTCCCCCTCCTCTCCTCCTCCTCCTCGTCGTCCTCCTCCTCCTCCTCCTCCTCCTCTTCTTCTTCTTCTCCTTCTTCCTCCTCCTCCTCCTCCTCCTCCTTCTAATATACACATGGGGCTTGAACTCAGACCCTCTCCCTCTCACTTGGCTCTTTCTTTTTTCAGTCAAGGCTGGTGCTTTACCACTTGAACCACACCTCCATTTTCTTGGCCTTTTATTTAAGTCAAAGTAACAATGTTTTGTAGAATCTATAAAGTAAAAGAAAAATCTATATCCTGTGAACCGTTTGCTTTATTTTTCTCTGATGTTTTAGTATGTATGTTGTCTGTTATTTGTTCCCATATTTTTTCATGTTGTCTTCATAACATTTCCAATATTACCTCTTGGTCTTTATAAAGTTAATATTTCAAAAAAGACGTTTCTTTTTTGTTGTTGAGTTCTTAATTTGTCTACAGTTCTTAAATTGTTATAGGATGCATACAATGAAGATGACTGATTTTTCTGTATTCCAAGTCCTTTCTTTAGGAGAAAGTGGTTCACTGTTAGCATTATATATCTTCTGCTTCATTGTCACATTTTTCTCCCCGCAATACCAGTAGGAATTTATAATACCATTACCCTCACCACGCAGAGCCTCTTCCATGGTGCCTTTCATTTTCATTCATGTTTTCTGTGGCTGCTGTCAGGAAGAAGCAAGCTGCCTGCCAGACATGGGATTCTATCCTGGCCTGATTTTTCCCAGTTGGGCTTCAAAGTTGTGATAAACAACTTTTGATTATACTTACTGAATACCTTTTGGAATTGTCTTTCCTAGATTGGGCTGTCTGCCCTGAGTGCGATGCCCATTAAGTCCTTAGAAGAGATTAAAAACCTCTTCCAGAGATTGTCTGTCCGAAGATCAAGTTCACCCTCTCTGGCCAGTGGGAAAGACCCGCCCTCTGGGGTTCCATGCGCCTTCGTGAGCAGACTCTCTTTCTTCAGTCGAATGAAATTGTCTTCACCGTTGGAGGAAGAGGCTTCTCCAAGCAGTGAGAGCCCCCAGAAAGCTTCTGATGCAGCTTGCTGTACAGACACGGAGGAACACAGCAGCGATGTAGCACTGACCAATGGCCAGGTGGACCCCCTCCCCGGACAGCCCTGGGCCTCCGACCTGTGCTATGAGGCGGAGAGCCCAGACGAGGCAGCCTTAGTGTATGCTGCCAGAGCTTACCAATGCACTTTGCAGTCTCGGACTCCGGAGCGGATCATGGTAGACTTCGCTGCTTTGGGACCATTAACATTTCAGCTCCTGCACATCCTGCCCTTTGACTCAGTAAGGAAAAGGATGTCTGTGGTGGTCCGGCACCCGCTTTCCAACCAGGTTGTGGTGTACACGAAGGGTGCCGATTCTGTCATCATGACGCTGCTCTCTGGAGCTTCTCCAGGTGGGTTCCAACCGGGTGGAGAGGGGAGGGACAGGTCGGCCTGGGAGATTCAGAGGCCTTTCTCAGTGGCTCTGCAAGGCTACTATTGGGCATGGAGTGGGGGAGAGGGGAGGTTGTTCACATCTGCCTGGGATTTAGTGAGAAGGCAAATACCTGTGGGCCTACACAGGCCTGGTTTCTAACCCGGACTTCATGATCACTTGTGCCTTGAGAAAGTTACCTAACCATTGAGTGTCTGTGTGTTCTGAAAGCTGGTATTATGAACTCTCCTCTGTAAGGCTCCCAGGAGCTGTCCTGTTATACTGTGGGCAATGTATGAGGAACCTCTAGCCAAGTACTTGTCACCAGGTGTCTGCTCAAGCGATGACAGCCAACATTGCAGTCCTTGTTATTGTTGCTCCTGACAGTATGGAAACTGCGAAGGAAAAAAAAATCAAGGGAGACAGTCATTTCTGAAGTGTTTCTTTTGTAGATGTATGGAGCGGATTCCAAACAAGAAGGGTATTTTTTTTTTAAATTGTGGATTAGGCTTTGGTCGTTTTTCTAAAAAATAAAATATGTGTCTCTAATTGGGCAGACTGGCAGGAATATTAGTGTATTATCCCTTATTTCAGATGGAGCCAACGAGGAAAAGCAGCAGGTGGTAATAAGGGAGAAAACCCAGAAGCACTTGGACGACTATGCCAAGCGAGGGCTACGCACTTTATGTATAGCAAAGAAGGTGAATTACCTACAGCACCCATCTTTTGTGCTCTTTCCCTTGTTTAGCCTTCATTTAATTAAGTAGATTAACTTAACTCACTTTCACCATAGATATGGCCTAGAACTTTCCCTAATATACTGAGCTAACCGTCAGGCCCATCTATAGTCTGTCACGCTACTCTGGTCACCAGGTGTGGGGAGCTGTGTCCATCCAGGTGAGCAGAGGGCATGCACCTGGTGTGACTTCCCGGAGGGAGAAATAAATACCCTCAAGCAAGTTGATGGCCTGGTAATTTTCCAGCCTCCAAGTCCCGAGCCCTGGTAGGATTCTACAAGACTATATGGCTTGTTTCAAATCTGGTTCCTTCCTTTCACAGGTCATGAGTGACACCGAGTATGCGGAGTGGTTGAGGAGCCATTTTTTAGCTGAAACCAGTATTGACAACCGGGAAGAATTACTCATAGAATCTGCCATGAGATTGGAGAATCAGCTAACATTACTGGGTAGGTAGATTGTTGTGTTGTGCTGTATAGGTTGAAGAAATCGGTTCAACAGTGATTATCTCTAACTACAATATTCACCACTTTAATCTAGTATACATTTGTGATTTGCCTGTCTGTCTACCCTGCTTCCAATCAGTCCTGGTTTGTTTTGTTGTTTTTGTTGTTATTGGGGCTTGAACTCAGGACCTGAGCACTGTTCCTGAGTTTCTTTTGCTCAGGGCTAGCTCTTCAGTGCTCGAGCCTTGGCTCTACTTCCAGTTTTCTGATAGTTTATTGGAGTTAAGAATCTTCAGAGTTTCCTACCCAGGCTGGCTTTGAACTTCGATCCTCAAATTTCAGCCTCCTGAGTAGCTCCGATTGCAAGCTTGAATCACTGGTACTTGTCTTGTTCTTCTCTGTTTTTCACTGCACTGAACTAGACTAAATTTTGTGATAGGATCAGGGTAGTCATTCTTAGTAGATTGCTTAAAACCTCTGCCCCTACATGGAGTACAGAGTTTGAATTCAGGATTAGGGTAGTCAAAGAGTAGATCACTTAAAACCTCTGCCCCTAACATAGAGTACAGAGTTTGAGTACAGGATTAGCTGAAGTTTCTTGCCAGGCATGTAGTCTTTTTCAATTCTCACAACCAATCTCCATCTCATTAAGAAAAGCAGTTCAATGACTGTTTCGAGGTCACATGTGAGTAACTGTCAGAGTTAGTTACTAACCATGCGTGGAACTCACGGTACCTGGCTCCAGGGTCTGTGTTCTTTCTGCACCTGGAATCGACTTAAAGAAACCTATTTTTCTTCTCTGCCTCTCTAATTCTCTTCCAGAATTTCAGAACACTTATGTCAGGTTGAGCTGCACCTTAGATTCATCTAGAGAGTTTAATCAATATTCTATCCCCAGAGTCTGTGATTATGTTAGGCTGGTGTGTAGCCTGAATACTGGAATTGTTAAAAGCTTCCTGAATTGAAGGAGATAATCAAGTTTGGGAGCCCATGGAAGGGCATGGAGATAGATTCTACCATAAGCACTGAAACACCAAGAGACCAACTTCCCGCCGTATTGCAGTTCTAAAAATAAAATTAAAATGGATAGTGGGTTTAATGCCTATGACATTTGGCAGCAAAATCAGACTTTGTTTGATGTAACACTACATTTGATATAACATTACAAAATAGGGCATATGTACCATCTTACCTGTGTGTGTGTGTGTGTGTGTGAGAGAGAGAGAGAGAGAGAGAGAGAGAGAGAGTGTGTTCAGGGACTTGAACTCAGGGCCTGGGTGCTGTCCTTGACCTTTTGTGCTAAAGGCTAGCACTGTACCACTTGAGTACCACAGCTCCACTTCTGGCTTTTTGGGTTGTTAATTGGAAATAAGAATCTCACAGAACTGTTTTTGCCTGAGCTATCTTCAAACTGCAATCCTCAGATCTCAGCCTCCTGAGTAGCTAGGATTATAGTCTTGAGCCACTGATGCCTGGCCCTTACTACCTTTTGAAACCTGTTAACCTTTTGAGTTCCAGGACACTCCTGGGTCCCATTATTTTAGAAAATGAAATGATAGACATATTATGAAAGAACATTGTATAAATACTACATCTTATTGGCGAGAACATTCTTTGAAAACTTACTCTTATCTTTGTATCATAGAATTATAAAATGTATAGTGCAAGACCACATAAATATTTAAATAATACCTTTGAATCTGCAGATATTTATACCTATCTAGCCAAAAAGAGAATAAGCAAGTTTGATGAACTTTGACCTTCCCTCCCAAAATATTATTTTGCATTTAACTTTTGTCTGGATCTTCATGCCTTTGGATTGCTGGAAACTACTGGAAAAGTTTGTATAATTCAGGACTGAGTTGGCTAATGAATAAAATTCCTCCTCAACATCCTCCTCTTCCTCCTTCCCTGCCTCTTTTTTCTTTTCCTTCTTCATCCCTGTAATTTTGTGTGTGTATGTGTGTGTGTGTGTCTGTGTGTGTGTGTGTCTGTGTGTCTGTGTGTCTGTGTATGTGTATGATTATACTGGGGCTGGAACTCATGGCCTGGGCACTGTCCCTGAGCTCTTTTGCTCAAAGCTAGTTCTCTACCACTTGAGCCGTAGCTCCACTTGTGGCTTTTAATAAGAAATAAGAATCTCCTAGATTTTTTTTTCCTGCCCAGGCTATCTTCAAACTTGCATTCTCAGATCTCAGCCTCTGGAATAGCTAGGATTACAGGGACAAACCACCCATTACCTGGCTTAATGAACAGGATTTAATTATAGACTAGAGGAGCTTAAGCCTGCTTCGGTTTCTTAAAGACCTTGTTTCACTTTGGTTGTCTCAAGGAGCTACTGGCATTGAAGACCGTCTGCAGGAGGGAGTCCCGGAGTCTATAGAAGCCCTTCACCAAGCTGGCATTAAGATCTGGATGCTGACAGGAGACAAGCAGGAGACAGCTGTCAACATAGCTCATGCATGCAGACTCCTGAAGCCCGAAGACAAGCTCTTTATCCTCAATACCCAGAGCAAAGTAGGTATAATGAGATTGAACCAGTCTTTTTGTTTTTAAGCCATTGGAGCATTTGGAATTAGACATATGTAAGAAAGAAAAGCTGATAATCTTTAGCTTTTTGATATTTGTTCAGCCAGCAATCAGTGACAGAGCTCATATTTGGGAGGATGCCATAGTTTTCCTAAAGACTTGTGGAATAATCATCATGGCTGAAAAAGTTAAAGAAGGCTTTCTCTGCATTATGTAATTAATTTTTTTGTCTATCTCTACTCTCGATTACCAAGTATTTGACAAGCTAGCCCCAAATGACGTACATATCTTGAGACAGAAATCAGTAAATAGACTTTTTTTTAACAAGAAATAAAAGTAGTCGCTCAGAACAATCATGCCCTCTAGTGATAATTTCTCTCTAGTGAGGGGAAATAATAGTTTCTATTGCAGTCAGATAAATAAGTATTTTTAAGAGAAATGAAAATAGGCTCACAGCCTGATAGTGCGCTCTAGTGGTAACTTTTAGGTACTGCTCCTGAGAATATCAAACATGGGAAGAAATGCTTAAAACAGATATGTTGTTTTTAAAGGAGAAAGAGTTTAAGAGACTTGCGTGTAACCTATTTTTCTCTGGCTTTCTCTCCTGCTAACCTCTTCCATAAGTGTCCCAGTCAATTTTACATGAGCATATTATTTTTCTCAGAAGATGCCGACTATACTTAGAGCAGTATTGTCCAAGACCTGTGCATGTTCCTTTTTCCTGAGAAGTCTTCCTCTTTTTCCCTCAGTAGTGGGATTTAACCATTTGGCATCATTTTGGTGCATCAGCCTGTCTTGATTGTCCTAATGGATCTCATCTTGAGCTTGCGTCCAGGCTACCACAGTTGGCTAGCTATGATTCTATGGTCAGGCTTCCATCAGGACTTGGCTACATGGTATCTTTTGAGGAAAGAGAGTTGTCCTTATTCAGTAGAGCGTGGCTTTTTCTTTATAGCTGAATGTTCCAGGAGCAAATAATCACAACCACAGCTAGGACCCTGTACTAGAAAGAGGCTGAGTCCATGAAAATACTGGTCATGTTAGTCACTGAGAAAGGATAAGGCCTGAGTAGCTGGCAAATGCATGGCCTGCCACTACCAACGCATGGGACTTCAGGACGCTAAGCCCCTTCCTGAACCTCTCCTTCCCTATCTATCATGTGAGAGTTAGCCAGAGTCATGGGTAGCTGGGGGTGTTATGTGAAGCATTGTAAAGTGCTTTCCAGTGGCATCTCATATATCAGAGAGGGTCACTGAGCATGAAATAAAAGTAATCAATGATGGTGTCTACATTTGATTCCCAGTTTTTTTTAAACATGAGAAAGTTCTTACGTTATCTTAATTATATTACATTATTAAGCAAACAATACAGAAAACTATTTTGTGATGGAGAGAAACTGTGGTTTGAGTTAGGACTTTATGCTGTCTAGGCAAAGGCCTATTGCTTGAGGCACACTTCCGGCCCTTTTCGTTGTGATTGTTTGACATGGAATCTTTAATTTTTTTTTTACCCAGACTGGCCTGGACAGCAATCCTATTTTATACTTCTTGCCATAACTGTAATGACAGGTGCCTACTACTATGCCCAGCTTCCTTCCTTCCTTCCTTCCTTCCTTCCTTCCTTCCTTCCTTCCTTCCTTCCTTCCTTCCTTCCTTCCTTCCTTCTTCCTTCCTTCCTTCCTTTCTTTCTTTCTTTCTATCTTTCTTGTTTTTGGTCAGTTGTGGGGCTTGAACTCTGGGCTTGGGCACTGTCCCTCAGCTCTTCAGCTCAAGGTGAGTGCTCTACCTCTTGAGCTACAGCACTACTTTCAGTTTTCTGGTGGGTTATTGATGATAAGAGCCTCATGGACTTTGTTGCTCTGGCTGGCTTTGAACTGCGATCCTCAGATCTCAGCCCCCTGAGTAGCTAGGATTACAAGCATGAGCCACTAGCGCCCAGCGTCAGCTGTTCTTGAAGATGGAGTTTCATAAACATATCACCCAGGCTGGCCTCAAACTGGAACCTTCTTGATCTATGTATCCTGAGTAGCTAGATGCCACTACAGTACCGGTGCTGGCTCAGAAAACTTAAAAAGATAACAACTGGATAATTCTTTGTCAGAAAAAGAAAACTTCTGCTGTCACTTTGAATGTTCTTCTAGAACATTCCCGGAACCAGAGGAACCTGGTTCCTGGAGAGCCAGGTATATTGTTGCATGCCCGATGTGCCTAACAGCCCTCACACATCCCAGGTGAAATGTTGCTGTGTCTGTGGAGACAGATTAGGTGAATGGTCTGTTGCCCATTTTGGAATCAGAGTGTAGTATCATCATTTAGGTCAATTATATAACTCCACCCCCTTGTACCTAAGGGTACTATTGCCCCTCAGGGGACACTTGGCAGTGTCTGGAGATAGTCTAGTAAATTCTCAGCTGGGGAAAGGAGGACTGCTAGTGTGTATCTTCTTGGTAGACAGATCACGATGCTAAATATTCTATAAGGCACAGCACAGCGCCCCAGGACTGAGGACTTTCTGATCCACATGTGACTGCCAGCCTTGAGCAATTCTGCCTTAGGCTGTTTCATTTGTATGAAATAATAGATATTACAATGAAGAAAGGCCAGTTAGGTCTCTGGCATGGTTGCACCTGTTCTTTATCTTTCAAAATACTTCTTTGCTGCTTCTTGTTTCTTTTTCTGTTTTTCATTCTTAGATAGGTTTTTTTGAAAAAAAAATTAACTACGTTTATTTTTAACTGGGCCCTAAAGCATAAAAATTTTTACCTATTAATGGCGTGCCATGTAAAGTTGCAATACATCCATACTTCATCTAATATCTAAATCAGATTAAGCCCATCTGTTTCCTCAGCCATTTGCCATTCTTTATGGTCCAAACTATTAAAACTATTTCTTCTAGCTTTTAATCTATTGATTCAGAGGTGTTTCTAATCAATCAAATCAGTATGATTATGAAATTTATTTACAAACAATTTAGGTTGGAAGACATTGAAAGCTACTAGTTTAAGAGCACTGAATAGCAACTGTACATAACATTATTTGCTATTAATTGCTATTCCACATGCTTCCATGCTTTCCAGATAACCCAATATAATACAGTGAATACCATTTAGTTGAGTTCTCCAGATAACCCAATATAATACAGTGAATACCATTTAGTTGAGTTCTCCAGATAACCCAATATAATACAGTGAATACCATTTAGTTGAGTTCTCCAGATAACCCAATATAATACAGTGAATACCATTTAGTTGAGTTCTCCAGATAACCCAATATAATACAGTGATTACCATTTAGTTGAGTTCTATCAATGGAGACTCAGTCACTGGTGTTTAAATGTCTTCCCCATTTTCCCATCACTACCTCTCAGGCCCCTCATCTTAGTTAAAAAAGGACCTGACTGTCATGGAGCCTAATTTGTCACTTAGTGAATTGCTTTTGGAACCTTGGATGGAATGTCTGAAATCATGTCTGTCCATGTCCATCAACTTTTGCTCCTAGGCTTGCAAAAGTGTAGCTACTTCCAAACCTTACATGGTTTCCAATCTAATGGAAGTGCCCTTCCTTCATCAGCTTACTAAGAAATGGCAGTGAAAAGCTGAGCTGGCTCTCCAATACCTCCCCAAGGCTAACAATCTGTGTCTCCTCTTGGTTCAAGGATGCCTGTGAAAGGCTGATGAGCACCATCTTGAAAGAACTTCAGAAGAAAGCTCCAGCTTCTACAGAGCAACCATCATTAAATCAAGCTTTCCCTCGGCCTGCTGTACCTCAGGACTCAGGGCCACGGGCAGGACTTATTATCACTGGAAAGACCCTGGAGTTTGCCCTGCAGGAGAGTCTGCGCAGGCCCTTCCTGGAGCTGACTGCCTGGTGCCATGCTGTGGTGTGCTGCCGCGCCACGCCCCTGCAGAAAAGCGAGGTGGTGAAATTGGTTCGCAGCCACCTGCAGGTGATGACCCTGGCCATCGGTGAGTGGGAGTATAAACCAAGCCTTCCGCCCCTCCAGTCTCACAGAACCCAGAGGCTGATCCTCTGTCTGTCCTTCTTCTCCATCTGTGTGCATGTCTTCCTTTTCCTCCTGCTTTCCCTCTGTCCACCTTTGCTCCCTCCCCCATCCCTCCATTCCTTTGCCTATGTTAAATGTAGGCAATGTAGGCCGTGAGCCTGGATGCAGAAAACCAGACTCTTGGGGGAAATATTGCATCCCAGGACTGAAAAACGAATCCAAGAGTTCTTTCAATAGGGAAGTTAAATTCAGGGACGTGAACAACCCATTTATTTGTCTATCCAACATTGAGTGTCTTCTTTGTGCTAGGCTTTTTTTTTTTTCTACACAAGGATGATCCAACAAAATACCTTTCTTAAGCCTGCATCAAATTAGGGAGCAGACAGTAGAACAAACAGAAAGTACACATGGATGATACTAGAGAATGATAAATACTGATTTGTTGATTTTTATGTTTTTTATTATAAAAATAATATACAGAGGGGTTACAGTTACATGAGTAAGGTAGTGAATACATTTCCTATCTAGCATTGATACCTCCTCCTTTGTTTTTCCCCTACCATCCCTTCCCTCCCCACCTCCCCAAGTCCCCCCAAGGCGGAGCAAGATTAAGTGTGGAACATTGGGGAAAGTGGAAAGGGCTGCTTGCCATTTACAATTCAGTTTTAGGAAGTGATACTGTGGCTGTAAATGGTAGAGTACTAGCTTTGAGTGAAAAAGCACGGGACAGCTCGAAGTTCAAGCTCCACAACCAACAACCAACCAATCAATCAACCAATAAATTCAGTTTTAGGGCAGAGACATGGAAGAAATGATAGGAAGCCATGGGAGATCTACGGGTCCACATTCCTGGTAGACTGGACAGCAAAAGTTGAAAGCCATGAAGGGCACTGTGCTTGGTCCAAAGAAGATTGGGGCAGGGCAGACTTTCCTGCAGGATAGTGAGTAGTAGATTAGCAGGTAGCCAGATCATATGGTGTCTTGAAGGCCATGATTTTTGCTTAGTCTGAAGACTCTTTTCAGGAGAAGTGAGGGTTTAGAAGCATTGTAATGTCTCGTGTGTGAAAAATACATGTTGGACCGCAGAGATATAGGTAAAGAGGTCAATCAGTGGTAGTCTATGGAAATAATCCAGACCACAGCAAGGCCTGGGTGGGAGCAGGTAGGGCGGTGAGAAGTGGCCAGACAAGGAACATGGCTTGAAGAATTCACTGGCACCTTTGGCTGTTTGGCACCTTTGTTATATGAGAGAAGGAACAGTCAAAGGGGATGCCAGAGTTTTGTCTAAGCATAGAAATATGGAACTACCATTTACCACGTTGGAAATGGAATAAAGATTTGGGTCCTACATTAACCTCATTAGATGTCTAAGTAATCATATGAAGTACACAACTAGAATAAAAGTTGGAAAGTTAGCAGTGAGGAATGGGCTAGAGATAGAAATCTGTGAGCCTATGACTAGTGACTGTGAGAGGTTTGATGCTAGGCTATAAAAACCATTAACGGATGTGAATAAATAGAGAGCATAGTATGAGAAGACACTTGGAAATACTTCAGCATTTGCATGAGGTAGGGTAGAATTGTGTTCAGTTGTCTTGTGGAATAAACATATCAATGAACTAATTATCCAAGCCCCCATACTAAGGTTATCTTGAAGCTGTAATCTCTGAGCTTTTTAATTACATTGTTAGATTGCTGCAAGTGCCGACCTTTGAATCAATCCTTGAGGCCAGGGTAGAGAAGATGTTTTCCATCCATAAATATAGATGTTTGGCTTCATCCTAATAAACCAGATAGGCTCAAAAGCTCCCAAATCATCAAAATACCATGATTAGAAAACAGGTGAATTTGCCACTCAGACCTTTAGCATATAGCCACAAAACCTGGTGCATATGAAGAATTAAAATCCAGCAAAGCAAGTTGAGGACAGAATAGTATAAACAGAGAAACCACCAGGTCTAGCTGAGACTTGGAGGTAGTGTTGGTAGAATGGAGAAAGGGAGACTTAGTCTGGGTAGGCACCGTAGCAGGACTTTAAGACAGGAAGTTAATCCCACTGGCAATGGGATGCCACGTTCAGTTTCTGCTTCAGTAGCTTCCAAGTCTCTAAAAAATGGGATAAACCTTGGGAGGTTTAGCTGGTCCCTTGAGCAGCCCCTAAACTTTTACAGCTCTTTACTCCTTTCCTCTCTTTCTCATCTTCCTCCCAAAGGTGATGGTGCCAATGATGTTAGCATGATACAAGTGGCAGACATCGGGATAGGGGTCTCCGGTCAAGAAGGCATGCAGGTGAGCAGATGTCTGTACCCACCCATGATCTTGACCTGCCCCTTGAAGGCAACCTTCTCCCTGGCAGAATCACTATGGCAAAATGAGGCTGGGTATGGTTAGCTAGGAGTAAGAGACAGGACCTTTACCCACTCCTTCACTGGTTACTTCCTGGGTAAATATTATTCTATTTTTCTGGATAATTTTAAGGAATATTAATAAGTGAATGATGAAGTATATTTATTAATTTCTTGTGCCAGTCCTGGGGCTGAGTGCTGTCCCTGAATTTTTGTGGTCGAAGGACACCACTCTACCTCTTGAGCCACAGTGCTACTTCTAGCTTTCTGGTGGTTTATTGGAGATAACAGTCTCACAGATTTTCATGCCCAGGCTGGCTTTGAACCACGATCTTCAGATCTCAGCCTCCTGAGGAGCTAGGATTACAGGTGTGAGCCACTGGTGCCCGGCCTAGGAAATCATTTTGTAGCTCTGCAGTAATATTTTTTGAAAATTGTGATTCTGGAGAGAATTACTAGGGTTTGAATAAAAGATACACAGATAAAAAGAGAAGGGACAATAAGATTAGGGAGGGTGGGGGGGGAGCAAAGGGCAGAAAAGACGAGAGAATAAGAATGAAGTCAGAGTATCCTATTTGCTCTGTGTGTGTGTGTGTGTGTGTGTGTGTGTGTGTGTGTGTGTGTGTGTGTGTGTATGTGTGTATGTGTGTGGGGGGGGGCGGGTAAATGCTAGTAGAAAAAAATCTAGAATACAAAACTTAGGGCTCCCCAAGAATTAGAGAGGATGATTTGATAGAAGTTGACAGATTCAGCTACTTCTTTGCCTGACACGTTACACAAAGTAATGTGGAGTCAGGACTGCCCTCCTGAGAAGCAAAAGCATCTTATAGTACAGAAGACAGTTCTTGCTGAAGGACCTGCTTTTGGGGGGCAAGTCCGTTTGCTAAAGTTACATCATAAGTACCAACCAAAGTGAAATCTCATTTTAGTTGACCATATTAGAGGTGAATAGTAATGCCAGGGAACCTATTAAGGCTCTGTGTTTGGGGGCTTTTACTGTTGCTGTTCTGTGTGTGTGTGTGTGTGTGTGTGTCTGTGTGTGTGTCTGTGTGTGTGTGTGTGTGTGTCTGTGTTTCTGTGTGTCTGTGTCTGTCTGTGTGTGTGCACATATGTGTATCTGTGTGTGTGTGTGTGTGTGTGTGTGTGTGTGTGTGTGTGTATTCTCTTTCCGGATCTACTTGGACGGAAGAGCTGGCTGTTTGTGTGTCATGATCAGGATGTCTCTGCTGAATATTCTGTCACTCAGGGTAGCCTTCTCTCCCCATTGCCCGGCAGGCTGTGATGGCCAGTGACTTCGCCATTTCTCAGTTCAGACATCTCAGCAAGCTCCTTCTCGTGCATGGGCACTGGTGTTACACACGACTTTCCAACATGATTCTCTATTTTTTCTACAAGAATGTGGTATGTAACTGTAGAGAATTTGAACCTCCCCCTTCCAGCCTTTCAATTCTGTGTTACGTTGGAGACAAAGAAGTGTTCTAGTCTAAGCTCACATTGATTTATAAGTGTTTTTGGAACTGCCAGGAGCAGTCTTGTGTCTTTCCAGAAATAATATGGGAGTGTGTGTGTGTGTGTGTGTGTGTGTGTGTGTGTGCGAGAGAGAGAGTGTCTGTGTGTGTGTTTAAACTGTTGACAGCAAATTACTAGGCCTGTCCATTTGCTAACATTTTTTCTCCCTATGCATTTAAATTCAATTAAGTCCTGTCTGGTTCACTTAAAATCCAATTTTTGACCTTCCACAAAAAGATTATGACAAGCAGAATTATGAAATGTGTAATGCTTTTAGTAGAAAATGAAAAAGCTTTACTTCCATTTTACTGGAGATAGAAAAAAATGCCTGTTACCAACCTGACATCTCCTGTGGTCTATTGAGGACAGATAGAGATGAAAACCTAAGATAATGTCAGCCAGCAGTTGGATAGCACTTGTGACTGTAAGAGTTTTCTATCTAGCTTATAAAACCTATTTGTACTTGGTAAACACTTTTTGTGGTAAGAACAGAACTTTACTTCGATTATGCTACTTCTAAATGCACAGAATTTGACTATTTCTCTTCTAACTAGATGTTCTAACTTCTAATCTTCAGCCTATTGTATAAATTTAGATTTCTCTCAACATATCAGTCAATAAGTACAATGCATCTTGATCATTATCACTGCTTTTTTTGTTCTCCCCCATCCCTCCGAAACCAACATCTCCCCACAATTATCCTAGTTTCATAGGATATGCATTAAATATGATGATTGCATTCTACTCCCTCCCTCTCTTCCTCCTCCCCACCCCCACACCCTTGACCTCTTTCTGGCCACCCCACACACATCTCAAGTACCAGCTTCCTGATATTCATTTTGTTGGACTGTGTATTCGTTTTTCTAAGAAATTAGACTGTTTGAATTCTCCCCTGCTTACTTACTTTGGTTAGTCCATGTGTGTATACTTGCAAATGACTTCCCTATGTGTTTACTTGTATATTTATAAATTATGGGAGAAAGCATGTATCCTTTGTCTCTTTGGGCCTGATTTATTTCACTTAACATTCCTTTTCCATATCCATACATTTCTTTGCAAATGATGGGTAAAATTCCCTTATATATACACATATACATATATACATATATATGTATATATATATACATACACACGCGCACACACACACACACACACATATATTACATTTTCTTGATCTATTTGTCCATTGAAGGGCATCTGGGTTGTTTTCATACTTTGGCTATGGTGAATAGTGCAGCAACGAACATGTTGTGCAAGTGCCTTTATTGTATCTTGATTTGTATTCTATTGGATAAATGCCCAAGCATGGAATTGCTGCATCATAGTGTAGGATAATTCTGTTTAGTTTTTAAAAGAACTTCCAAACTGTTTTCCAGAGTAATTGAACAAGTTTACATTCTCATCAACAGGGTATTAAGGTTCTTGTTCCCCCACAGCCATGCTAGCATTTTTTGTTGTTTGCATTCTCTTTCTTTCTTTTCTTTCTTTCTTTCTTTTCTTTCTTTCTTTCTTTCTTTCTTTCTTTCTTTCTTTCTTTCTTTCTTTCTTTCTTTCTTTCTTTCTTTCTTTCTTTCTTTCTTTCTTTCTTTCTTTCTTTCTTTCTTTTTGTCTGTCATGGGTCTTGAACTCTGAGCTCTTCATCTCAAGGCTAGCACTCTACCACTTGAGCCACAGCACCACTTCTGGGTTTCTGGTGGTTAATTGGAGATAAGAGTCTCACAGACTTTCCTGCCTGGGCTGGCTTTGAAAACGAGATCCTCAGATATCAGCCTCCTGAGTTGCTAGGATTATAGGCATGAGCCACCAGCACCTGGAACTGTTTGTATTCTTGATGATAGCTATTCTAAGTGGAATAAGATGGAATCCCAGTGTTGTTTTGACTTGCATTTCCTTAATGGCCAGAAATGTGGGGCATTTCTTCATATATCTATTGGGCATTTTTTACCTCTTCTTCTGAGGAGTCTCTAGCTTGTACAATTACTCTTTAATTTGATCTTGACACTAAATCTTAAGATGGTATAAGTTTCATTTTATATAGGAAGAAACCATAATTCTGAGAAGTTGGAGAAGAGACTTAAAGTCAAGGAATCAATAGAAAGCATCTCTAGGCCTTGATGCAAAATTCTTGAACCTAAGTCCAGTGTTCTTTTCTGCTCCACTTGAGAGCAAAGAGCTTTATCTCTATTGGGCTTAGTTTGAGGTACAATACTGTAAGAAACCATGGAAGATGTGGGTGGCTGGCCTTTGGGGCAGCCAGTGATCCATGTTTGCCAGGCTTAGCATGAGAGCCCCATGGCCTAGGGAACCTGTCCTTCCCAAGGAAGCTGGACAGTTGGCCACCTTGCTGACACTTGACCCATATCACCACGAAGAAATACTGTTGACCATTCTTTGTCAGGAACTGGGCTGTGTTCTCTTCACTCTGCCACTTAATAGCTGAGTCTGTAAGTCTCAGGCAAGTCCCTGAGTCCCTCTGGGCCTCAGTGTCTTAGTCTATTCAAGATACTATAACAAAATCCCATAGCTGGGTGGCTCATAAACCACAAGAGTTTATTTCTTACATATCTGGAGGCTGGAAGTCTGAGATCGGGGTGCCAACATTGTGGCTATCTGGTGAGGACCCTAACATTTTGGTGGTATGCTCTTATGGGAAAGGGGAACAAGGGTTAATCCTATCCCTGAGGGCTTGAAAGTGAGTATCAACTTACTTCCCAATGATCCCATCCCCAAAAGCCATCACAAATTGGGGATTGAGATGAATTTTGAGACGTGCACAAATGTTAGTCCATTATACTCATTTTCCTCATCTGTAAGGTGGGAACATTAGCAATTCCCACATAGTTATGATTCAGTGGATGGCTTGTGCAGCACTTAAAGCTGTTTCAGCCTCACCTAGTATGTGGTATGCGTGTGTGTGTGTGTGTGTGTGTGTGTGTGTGTGTGTGTGTGTGTGTGTGTGTGTGTGTAGGGGAAATTCATTTAAATGTTTACCAAAAACTAACAAATGGAAGGTTGTGTTGTATTCTTCCATTTTGGAAATGATGAGAGATCAGAGAAGGGTGGTCATGCAGGTGAGAATGGCAGTATGTGGGCTGTGTGGTCAGGACACACATGGCTGTTTCTAAGCTCTGAATGTTCCTCTTTGTGTCCCTAGGCCTATGTGAACCTCCTTTTCTGGTACCAGTTCTTTTGTGGGTTTTCAGGAACATCCATGACTGACTATTGGGTTCTGATCTTCTTCAACCTCCTGTTCACATCTGCTCCTCCAGTCATCTATGGTGTTTTGGAGAAAGACATATCTGCAGAGACTCTCATGCAACTGCCTGAGCTGTACCAGAGTGGCCAGAGATCAGAGGTAGGTGTGCAAACAAACATATTTACGATCATACATAGCCTAAGTATTTTCTAATTAGCTCATATACTATCATTTACAGTGAACTATTGAAGAGGTCTGATTGTTTTCACTATACAAACATTGCAATAACATTAAATTACTAGACCAAGATATAACCACAGTTAAAATGTGTGAAAAGTCATAAGCCTATACTTACTAGAAGAAATCCAGTGTTTGAGATCTTACAATTAATGATACATAGCATTTATTAAACCCCTCTATGTTTGCCAACTAGTCAGCCTTCTCTGTTTCATTTATCTTCACAAGAGCATGTTGAGACAGAATGTAGTATCATTCTCATTCTACAATGAGGGATCTGAATCTCAGAGGCTTTAAGTGATTTTGCTAGAAATTACCCAGCTCATGATAGAGCCAGTATGTATAGAAACCATCCCTGTCTGTTTTTGAAGCTCAGGTTCAATTCTTCAGGTTCTGCTGTCATGCGAAATGGAAATGATCTTATTGGCTCACTCTAAAAGCAAGCCCCACCTCTCTCCTCTCCATCTGCCACTGATACCTCACTCCCTTCTTGTCTCTTTCCTAGAAGATTGTATTGGTTCATTCAATAAAGTCATTGTCTAAAAACTCTTGTTTCTACTTTATCTCACTGAACAACCAACATTAGGATAGCACTTAATGAAAATGTATGTAATGTCTAGGTTCTCAGTACTTGGCAGACATAAACATAATCTGCAAAATATCTTTGCATGGCAGATGCTGTTACTATTGGTATTGTGTTGAGGAAAGTCAAGTGCAAAGAGTTAGTTATCTTTGGTCATTTGCTCTTGGCATGAAGCTAGTGGGTGGTATGGTTGAATCCTGGCTCCAAGCCCATGCTGTCTGCCTTTATGCTTCGTGACAGGAAGAATTTTGATGGCCAGAAATGTAGTGTTGCTATAAGAACACTGTATGAATTAGCAAGGGCGGGGATGGACAAGGAGAACTGAGATTGTTTCCAGTTGTTGAGCCTTGTTGTCATTTCTTGGTACACATTGTTCTGTGGATGTTATAAGACATAATAGGTGGCAGATAGCTAGCATGTTGCTATTGATAAAAGCAGTTTCAAAGAGACCCAAACAAAGTTTTGTTGGCTTTACTTTCCAGAATCTGTCCTTCCTTTGATCTTGACTTCCAAACAATTCTTTTGTTTTCTGCATGGCTCAATTCCTAGCTTTGGTATCATGATGCCCTCTTTAATCCTATGGAATATCCTCCTACCCCCCATAAAAGGGAAGAGATCTTGGAAAGTTCACAGTAAAAGCATTCCCTTCCAAGAAGTAATAATCCCTTATTACCTGTCTTTCATCATCCACATTCTTCTGTCCTAGATTTAAATTCATGTTCAGATGTATCCTTTAGTTTCACAGAGATCCCCATGAGTTAAACCCTTCAGTTTGTCTTTTGACTCATCCTGACTTTTCTCTATGTGCTTTTTCACATGGCTGTGGAGAAGTTATGCTTTTTATCTTTCAGTCTACATTTTTTGTTTTATTTTAGCAACCTCTATTCCCCCAGAATACAAAATCATATTTTAACTTATCTCCAAATTCTTGTCCAGTGGCATTTAGGTTGCTCCTCTGTTTCTCACACCTTCTTTTCTACCATTGAACAATGCCTCTTCTTAGATCTTATGGCCACAGGGATGAAGAATGACAGATGGACTGTCATCCTTTCCAATGAGCAATAGTAAAAAAGAATACAAAAGGAAATAGATTGAAAGTTAATCTTTGTTGCTTGGTTTTGGAAAAAGGACAGAGAGATAAAAAGAGATCCATGTAAAAGTTCCAAGTGTAGTATTTTGAAGAATGGAAGAATGCACATGAAGAATTCGTATATTTATAAAACCTTGTTCTTTGGCAAACAGACATTTTGAAGGAAGTTTTAGTCTCTCTTTGTATTTGGAAGAAAACAAGAGTAGCTGTCTAGCCTGATTAAGAAAAGACTAGCTTAGGATAATAATAGATCTAGTTCCATTTTTATTCATGGCGCACAGGGCTAAAAAAGCCGTAGTCCTCAGAATCCATCTCACACACTTCATCATTCAGAAAATGAGCTCTCAGACGAGAGACTGCTGTTTCTCCTTGATCTTTCTATTTATTTCTGTAAGCTGTGGGTAAGAAGAAGTCTGGATATGGAATCTTACAAGAATAGTACCAGGCATCATTAGCTCTAAGTGTGTGTGTGTGTGTGTGTGTGTGTGTGTGTGTGTGTGTGTGTGTGTGTGTGTGTGTGTGTTTTGTTGGTACTGTGGCTTGAACTCACAGCCTTACATGTTTGCTTGTTTGCTTGCTCAGCTGGCTGGTGCTGCACCACTTGAACCATACCTAAGTCCAACATTTTACTGGTTTACTGGTGATGGAGTGGTAGAAGTGACTGAGTAAGCATAACTTTCCTATTGGTCTGTAATCGCACTATGAGGTGGTAATGGTTAAACCTGGAATTTGAGTAATGAAGAATGGCCCAAGACATAGAATCCTTAGAAGGGAAAATAGATGAACTTTAAGGAAAAACTAGCATGTTCATAGAGAAGAATAAGTTCATATTATGTGATAATATTCATAAGAAATGAACCTGAAAAACTACCCTGTGGGTAGACCAGGCAGGATCCTATAGTCGTGGAAAGAAACTTTGATTTGTTAAATTGTAATAAAAGCTGAGTACCGGTGGCTCATGCCTGTAATCCTAGCTACTCAGGAAACTGAGATCTGAGGATCACAGCTGGAAGCCAGCCTGGGCAAGAAAATAAGTGAAACTCTTATCTCCAAATGGAGCTGCAGTTCCAGTGGTAGAGTGCTAGCCTTCAGCAAAAACAGCTCAGGGACAGAGCCAAGGCCCTGAGCCCAGGACCAGCTCAAAATAAGCAAACAAATAAATAAATAAAATGTAATAGGAATCATTGGACTGAATAGAAGGGGACCCATTTGATTAGGTAGGGGATGTCATAAACTGATTTACATTTTTAGGAAACCATTTTGCTAGTATGGAATGTTGGAAAGAGTAGAGGAGGAAGTTGAATGGCTCTTCAGTCATCCATAGAGTTGGTGGTAAATTGGGATGAAGGAGAGATGGGTGGGTTTGGAGAAGCTTTTGAATAGTATTGTGTTACCAATAGGAGGAAAAGTTCATACTACTAGCTCTTCTTCCAATAAGGGCTGGGACGATAGTCCACTAAGATGATGATAATAATAATAATGATGAAAAGATCTGGCTATTGAAGTAGATTTTAAATGGATTTAATAAGTTGATTGAGAGTCCCTTTAAGGATTTTTTTTTTTGCTATAGTCAGTTGTGAACTTTGTGTGTTCAACTGCCCTTACTCTTCTATCACTACCTCATCTCACCTCATTTTATGAATGAGAGAAGGAAGCAATAGTTTTCTTTCAGAGAAGCAGAAATGAATTCTGCCTTATGTTGGTTCTTGACTTTGCTCTGACCCTGGCTAATCTCACTCCTTGTCCAATATGTGTTTCATTTCCAGGCATACCTACCCCTCACTTTCTGGATCACCTTGATGGATGCCTTTTATCAAAGTCTGGTCTGCTTCTTTGTGCCTTACTTTGTAAGTCTTTGTTTGCTCAGGGTATTTGTCATTAATGAATCAATGATGTTTCATTATACTTTGCTTTTGTTATCAGTAGATTGTTCATATCATCAGATTATTAATTGACTAGCAGATAACTTTCCAAATGTATTAGGCCATGTATTAAATTAACTGATCCTTGTTGAATTGTCTTGGGTCTTTTGTTAACTCCAACCTGCTTACTAATTTTGTCAATGAATTGAATAAAATTGAATTCTTGACTATATAATTAGACTAGTCAGAAATCATAAGCATAGTCAGAATGAGAAAGCGTTTTTTAGTGAATGTTGAGCTAATTCTACCAGGTAACTTCTGGAGAATTCCTATAATTACTCTCTCCCAAACTAATTACGTGTGCTATAGATAGAGAATGAAAATAATAAGACAAAGCAAAATTGTATTTTTTTTGGGGGGGGGTGTCCGGTCATGGGGCCTGAACTCTGGGCCTGGGCGCTGTCCCTCAGCTCTTCAGCTCAAGGCTAGCGCTCTACCACTTGAGCCACAGCACCACTTCCGGCTTTTTTTCTTTTTGCTTATGTGGTGCTGAGGAATCGAATCCAGGGCCTCGTGCATGCAAGGCAAGCGCTCTACCACTGAGCCACCTTCCCAGCTCCAGCAAAATCGAATTATAATTAATTTAAAAAATTTTAGACCCTTACTAAGCACAAAGCTGCATAGTTCAGCCGGCTGTCTACATACCACTTGTTCCATTATGGATAGTGTTCATGGAAGTACAGTACTGAGAATAATAAAAGATAGTGTCTATTAAGTTACCACTCTATTCTTTATTCAAATTAAATCAATCAAATTAACTTAACCAGAATACTCTACTTCAAGAGGAAGGTAGACAGGACAACTTGAAGTGTATACACAAGAGGACGGTGAAAAATCATAAAACTGTTCCATCATTTGACACATTTGAGGCATCTGTAGAGAAGAGAGAAGGAGGAGAGGATTTTTAGTTAGGAGAGGTATGAACTTAGAGTAGCCATAAAAGCTGCTTTAAGTATTTTTGTAGTGGTACAAATTTGGTATGGCTGATGAATCATGATTCAAAATAAAGAGGAATTCCCAGTGGAAAGTTCAAAAATTAGATGGCCTATCTGGGAGAGAGTGATATCTTTTCTGGAAATACTCATATGCCCTAAGTGGCCAGTTAATAGGAACATTGTAGAAAGTGCTTCCGCCCCTGTTCAGTCGTAGATCAAGTGGTGTTTCTCCCGCCACTGAGCACACACCACCGTCCACGCTCACCAGCTGCTGTTCTCTGCCTGTAGACCTACCAGGGCTCAGACATCGACATCTTTACATTTGGAAATCCCCTGAACACAGCTGCTCTATTCATCATTCTCCTCCATCTGGTCATTGAAAGCAAGAGTTTGGTGAGTGGGTTTCTGTCTCTGTCTTTTGTTAGCAGTGACCCTGTTAAAGTTCAGGCCTACAAGGTAAGTGCTTAAGAGAATAGTGATGACACTATGGAAAATGGGTGGTTCAGGGTTACTCTTTTTTAAATTTTAATTGCACTGTCAAGGTGATATACACAGGGGTCACAGTTACATCAGTAAGGTAGTGAGTACATTTCTTGTGTAACTTGTTACCCCTCTCTCATTTTTCTCTGTTTTTCCCCTCTCCCTCAATTCCCACCACCACCCAAGTTGTACAGATCATTTCCAACATATTGTCTTGTGATAATAGGTTGCATAGGTTGCCCCTTTGTCCTTTGTCTCGCCATTTTGTTGTTCCTCTTCCCTTCCCTAGTTCAGATAAACGTGTATATATAATACCCAGGGTACCAACATTGAATACAGTGACAACAGGGGATAAACCATGGGGGGGGCAAACCACAAAAGTAACGTACTACATGATTTCAAGGTTACTCTTAGTGATCCTTGACTGTCATTGTATTCAGTACTCAGGTTGATGTGTGGCTGGGGTAGCTACCTCCCTTTTACTGGTTGGTTTTCTACCAACTTTTTCTTGTCATCTACTTCCTTGTATTGCTTCCCTTAAATGTGTATCTGCTGTGAAGCCAGTGTCTCATTTGCCAAAAGCCACATCTTACTACAGCTGGAGAAATAAGGCCCATATACAGTTGAGAAGCCAGAAAAGATAAAAAAGAAATCAGTGTTCACATGATGAGCTTAATCGAGGAAGTACCTAATATCTTCTGAGCAGTTTGCACATTTTATCAAAAACGTGAGCATTCTTTGTGACTTGAGGGAAATCTTTGCCAGATGAGAAGGAAATCAGAGGAAACTGGATCTTGTTTGAAAAGTATAGCACTAGGATAAAAAAGATTCATAAAGGCTCTGTTTCCCTAAAGAGCCTAGCTCTGCCATCAATGGTACGTACTGTTGTGCTAGATGCTTCTCTAAATAACACTGACCGCTGACTACTGTATAATATAAAGACAATGTCTTTGTATGCTTCTGATTATATAGAAGAGGAGCTGTTTGATGCCATTATGTTTTGTCACAATTCTTGATAATTGCATTATACATCAAACGACAGATCAGACTCCACATTCAACACTATTTATTAAAACAAGATGCTTAATTAAACAAGATGTTTGATAAAACAAAGCTACTATTATATTTAAAGTAATGATTGGCTTTATTTTCCAAAATTAGCTTATTTACTTAACTAGTGAGCCAGTTTGAAGGAAAAACATTAAGAAAAAGGATTTAGGTAGTTATATATGGATATGAGGATGGCTAGATTGTAATGTGACACAGAAAAGATTAATTTTTGCTCACAGGAAGTTGACTGATATTCCTGAAAACTCTAGAAGCAACTGTTCTCAGAAAGATGGTTCAGTGTCCCAGGATATATTTTGTAGCAATACTAACTGGAATTATCCCTGAAGGAAATGTCTTGGTCAGTGTGAACAAAAAGGAAATCACATGGAAATTTGCACATCGATTCTTACATAATCCTAATGGGAAAGTAATATGTATCACTTCCTAGTCATATTTCATTGGTCAAAGCACATGCCTAATTTCCAGAAAGCAGGAGCTACAATCCATATGAATGCTCACTAGGGGAGAGAATGAAAGCCTGGATGATAAATTTGTCTTGTCTACCATGAGTAAATGGCTATAATTTTTACATCACTGGATTAAGGTATTACCTTAATGAAGAAAACAGACCCATGAGAGAAATAAATAGAACCCATGAGAGAAATAAATAGAAAAGGAAATCCATGATGGAAAGAATGACATTGGTTAAGATGCACTGTACTCACAAATTGACAAGTAGGATTGAAACCCCTTTGTATAGCTACTTTAAACATGATTTTAAAAATCAACAGTAGCCAGGTGCTGGTGGCTCATGTCTGTAACCCTCGCTGAGATTTGAGGATCTTAGTTCAAAGCCAGAATACAACCAAATAAATAGGCAGTAATACAAAATGATAGTCAACAGAATTACCCATCTGACATTTGGTTTCATTTTACAGGACTCAGTCAGTGTCATGAGCCATTTATGAAGGTTACTCTTCTTCTGGCTCTGCGGTACTTTGTGTTTGCCTAGCTAAGATTCACTCGGTTCTGAGATGTGATGTCCTCTTAAATGGAGTGGATTATGCCAGATTGCAGCACCCCATCCATGCATGTTCATCTTCCTGCCTTCTTGTCTTGCAGACTTGGATCCACATGCTGGTCATCATTGGAAGCATCTTATCATATTTTTTCTTTGCCTTGGCTTTTGGAGCTATGTGTGTAACTTGCAACCCACCATCCAATCCCTACTGGATTATGCAAGAGCACATGCTGGATCCCATGTTCTACTTAGTTTGTGTTCTTACAACCTTCATTGCTCTTCTGCCCAGGTAAGGAATTTGTCCTCTCATTAAGAGTATAGAATTGTAGGCTTAGAATATATCACACAGCTACTAAGAATGGACACTAGACCATACTGGTAGGTAGTGAGGAAATCACTACCAGTTAAAATAGTTAAAATACCAGTTAAAATAGTTCAGCAGAGAACAAAAACAAAAGAGTAGAAGGGTCTAAGCAAACTGGAAAATAGGTTTGTCTAACCTTGTTCACAGTTCACAGGAACAAGGCAGTTTTGCTTTATGAGATTATTTCAAGGACCTAAATAGCTTCTTCTATCTTTTTGCTCTGCCATCTCCCAAGTCCTTGGCTTGGTTTGTATTTTTTTTTAACTGCTACAGCAGAATACCACAGACTTGGAAAGTTATAAACAGTGATTTATTGGCTCAAATTTCTGGAGGGTGAAGAGACAGGATGAAGGCATTGGCAGGTCTGATGACTGATTGCAAGATGGTACCTCAAAGAGCACCTTGTCACCCAGCAAAAGTGATAGGGAGAAGCCATTCACGAGGGCAGAGCCCTCTTTACCAAGAGTCTAAGCACTTGGTAAAGTCCTTCTCCCCTCAGATGGTTACAAAGGCAACTAAATGTATGCATATGAAAATCACACAATGAGACTAAAAACTGATTAAGAGGAGAAAGGAGGGAAGCTAAGAAAGGGTAATTACAGATAGTATGACGTAGGTCCAAGTACATTATATGAATGTATGTAAAAATCACAACTGATTTTATGCCAATTATTTAAAAAATTAACCTGAGTTTTAGAAAAGATAGATAATCAAACTACACCAGAAGAGATGGCTTTAGTCAGCATATCCAGGTCCTCACCCACCAAGTGCACAGGAAGGGCAAGGAGAGAGAGCGAAGGGAATGCAGCTTCCTTTCTTTATTCTTTTTGTGGTGGCAAGACCCAGATGTTGTGCATGATGTTGCTACAATCCAGTTAATGAGAACCCAGGTAGGTAGTCTCAGAGTAGCTAAAATCCAAAGGTTTCTAAAACGAACCAGGTAGCCGGGTGCTGGTAGATCACACCTGTAATCCTAGCTACTGAGGAGGCTGAGATCTGAGAATCGCGGTTCAAAGCCAGCCTGGGCAGGAAAGTCTGTGAGACTCTTATCTCCAAGTACAAACACTTTGATATTGATGTATGTCTCCTCTAGAAATTCATAAGAAAGACCCACTGGGTCCCTCCATGGTGATTATAGTTATGTTTATCAAAACCACTGTTACACTGAGATATTTCTGAAATGCTCCTTTCTGTGACTATCTGTCAGAGTTAAAACTGATTAGATGAAATCCAGGAATTGGTAAAGAAATGTAAGAGGAAAGCAATTGAGAAAAAATAATAAAACTCTTAATCCCAAATGAACTAATTTGAAAGTTCTCAGCTTTAGGAAGTTCTAACTAAGCATTGTTAAAGTTAGGAGATGGACTGTTTGGAGTGTTCTCTGGAAAGAAGGTCAGAAGCAGAGATGGACAGCCTTTTCATTAGTGAAGATCAATGTGTGAGTCATAGATCCTCCAACCATGTCAATAGCTACCGGAAAGCTCTAGGGAGGGAGAGTCCTCTTATCTGATGATGTAAGTATCAATGGTATATATGGGAGACTCAGAAGTTTTTTGAGATTGTTTCATCAGTATAAACATTGCCAGCTTGTCTTAGAAGAAAACATTTATAATCACTTGTTACAGTAACCTTAGGAAAATAAAGCAAATAGCTAACTTAAAAAAAAGCTTATATGCCAACCCTCTGCCTGACTTGTATGTATTTTCTCACGTAACATTAACCCTATGATATACATTCATACATCTGGTTTATGTTTAGTTAGCAAGGACTTATAAAGTACTTACTCTTCTCTGGGTGTTTTATTAAGCTGAATTTATCTCATATTATTTTAATCTCTACTTTGTGTTATACTTGCCCATATCCCTTTATCTCAGCTCCCAAGTGGCCCTAGACTCGATTACTTTTTTATTTGGTTAGCATTTGTTGTGGGTCCTGCGATACATTTTAGGTGACTATAGTTCTATGATGCTCTTTGTAACCTAGGTTTCTCTATCGAGTTCTTCAGGGATCCCTGTTTCCATCTCCAGTTCTGAGAGCTAAGCTCCTTGACAGATTGACTCCAGAGGAGAAGACCAAAGCTTTGAAGAAGTGGAGAGGGGCTGCAAAGACACATCAGGTGACATCCAAGAATTCTGACCAATCAGTGGGCGAGTCAGGAAGAAGACCTGTCTCTGTTCCTTCTGCTGCCTTCCCAATGAAGCCAGCCACTTCTTGTACTGTTGAGCAAGGAGACATATCTCTATGTGAAACTGCTTTAGACCTTGGCCACTCTGAAACTGAGGCTGGACCCTCAAAGTTTTAACACAGTAGAATAAGCTTTTTAGAGTTGCAAGCATTTTTTTTTCCCCCTGGTTAATTAGAGATAGTAGTCTCATGGATTTGTCTACCCTGGCTGGCTTTGAAACTTTGAATCCTCTAATCTCAGCCTCCTGAATAGTTAGGACTACAGGCATGAGCCACTGGTGTTAAGCTACAAGCATTTTTTTTTTTCAAGTTTGGAAAATGGATTTTGAAGCACCTCCACAAGGTGAGGGTTACTTGTATTTTTCTATAGGAGATATGAACACAATTGTAGACATGGGAAAGCTAACACAATGGCTGTAAATGTGTATTTGTATAAACATCTGTAAAAGAGGGGTACGGTTAGGCCCGAGGAGTGATACATTTATGAAACCTTTTGCTCTTTGTAAAGGCATTTAAATTATGTTAGAAATGAAAGTATTGTTAAGGGGATTCATTTGAAATATATTAATTTTATAGGGAAGTCTCATTTCTTTGGAAAATGCTTTACGTGATCAGCTTCCAATCTAAATTTTCTTTAGGGGAAAAAAGTATTTTTAGATGGATTAGTTTAGGGCTCAGATATTTCTATATGAAAGAAATGTTAAGAATGGTTAATTTACAGGTTAGAATTCCCAAATTCTCAGTCAGGAGAAGAGCTCTCGAGAATTCTCCTGTGCAGATGTAGGCCAAACAGGCAGAATCACTAAGCCTGAAGCCCATTTGGCAATTTCCTATATTCTAAAACCGACAATAGCCTCATCAAAACGAGACAATCCATTTCAACACAATCTTCCAGAGAATGTTTGAGGTTTCATAGTTTTTACAGTGTCCCACAAGTTGTATCCTGTAAACAATGAAGTATAGATTGAGACTAATATGAATTGTACTCAGGGGTTTCCTTGCAGTTCTTGGAAAAACTTAGTGCATTTGAAAAAGTGTCCATAGTATGTTTACTTCTGTTACAAATCATGTGTGCTGGCTTTACCTTGGACCAAGTTCATAGGTCATGGCAAATAAGGCCAGGTGCTATTTAATAAGGTCATATATTCATATATTCATCTTGAAGCTTTTTTAAAAAAATTCAGAGTCTATTCATCTGAAAGTTACCCACTCACCAATTATCTAGAATTTCTTTTATAGGTCTCTAAGCTAATGTTCAATATCTACATCAATGTCTTATTAGTGATTATTGAGCTATTATTCTCAGGGCTTAATCTTTTCCCTGCTGCCTACTATCCTGATCCAACATTTTTTGTAGCCTTTTGTTACTGTTGTAATTGTCTTTTATATACAGACTGATTTCTAGAACTTTCAAAATCCCAATGGCTAATGGAAGTTGCTTTCTGCTTCCTTAAGAGTTTTTTTTAAATAAACTATTTAATAAATAATATATACTGAAAAATTGTCATCATTCCTGTAAACATGTTCTGAATCCAGATATAATTGGTTCTGGGCTTTAGAAGGCAAGTCTCAAAGCACACATATTCGTCTTGCATGGGATAAATCACTGGAGTCCTGTCATTTATCAGTGGCATTCAGTCCCTGAACTCTTCATTCAAGCTCTGATAAATGAAAACACTTAGAGCTATAATCACTTGGAAATAAAAGGTAAGAATTGAAGACCAACCTAAAAAATAAAAAAGAAAGGTCAAAAAATAAAAGAAAGGTCAGTTTCTAAGATGTGAGTTATCCACACATACAAATAGGCAACTGTTAAATTTTTTAGGTAATCCTGAAATATTGTAAAAAGCCCCAAAATCCTAAAAACTGAAAACAAAAAAGATTTTTTTTCATGAATGAGGGATAAACTAATTTAACCTAATTTTCCTTAGACAAATATAAAACAATTTATATAATTATAGATATTATGATTTTGTAATCATATATTTTGCTACAAAAAGATTAATGTATTTCACGATTGAATTCTAAACTGTATGTTTTTGTTGTTGTTGTTTTGTTGCCAATCCTGGGACTTGAACTCAGGGCCTGGACACTGTCCCTGAGCTTCTTTTACGGCTAGCACGCTACCACTTGAGCCACAGCACCACTTCCAGCTTTTTCTGTTTATGTGGTGCTAAGGAATCGAACTCAGGGCTTCATGCATGCAAGGCAAGCACTCTACCACCAAGCCACATTCCCAGCCCCAGTTTGTTGTTTTTTTTTTTGGTCGGTCATGGGGCTTGAACTCTGGGCTTGTGCTGTCCCTCAGCTCTTCAGCTCAAGGCGAGTGCTCTACCACTTGAGCCACAGCGCTGCTTCCGGTTTTCTAGTGGTTTATTGGAGATAAAGTCCAGGCTATCTTTGAACTGTGATCCTCAGATCTCAGCCTCCTGAGTAGCTAGGATTACAGTCATGACCCACTGGTGCCTGGCCTTGTTTTTTTTTTTTTTAAATTAGAAAATTCTGAATTCTGAAACACATCTGGCCCTAGGTTGCAGAGATCTGGGATCTGTATTAAATTTAGAAAATAACTCTTTTTATACAACATTACCTAAGCTGATGTGATCTGTTCCATTTTAGTATTCAGCATATTTCACTAAATTTGGGGGGACCAAGCATTATATCACTGATCCTAGTACACAAGAAAACAGAGAGATAAATAATACACATTTTGGCATATATTTTATTACAAAGGATTTATGAAAGCATTGGATCAGCTTTCCCAAATGCACTGTGAATATTAAATAGCCTTGAGCGCTTACTAGGGCTAAGTTCTCTTTGGATATTCAGTGAGTGACCGAGACTTGTTAGCAACCTCTAACGAGAGTAATGAAGGAACCATTGGTTGTCTAAGAGAGCAGGTAGCTGAAAGGGTGAAATAGAAGACAGGTAAAGTTTGAATGGGATGATGGGAAATGATACCAACATGCCATTCTGGAGGGATTAAAAGAAACATTCCCTACAACTTGCTATCCAGGTTCTGTAAGTCATCCAAAAAAAAAAAAAAGGAGAGAGAGAGAAAGAGATACACCATTTTATTTGTGTGTAGAATTCTTTAAAATGAGTACAATATGTGATTTTTCACTGAATATAAGCTAAACAAGAGTAAAAGCTGTTACATTAATGATGTGCCTACAACTAAAACAAAACTGACATATGTTGTTAAACTTTCACACAATTATGACCACAATTCACTTGCTGGATTTCACACTCTCTAGGGTTCATAACAAATTACAGAAGATGAACAACATGGAAAGTGCCAACACAACTTTTTGAATTTCCAATATGTTAATACATAGAAAAGGATACAAAAATACACATATAAAATTGCACATAGCCTCTTTTGGGAAAGCTGAGGCTGTTCAGGAGGTTGCTGGTGGGTTTTAGGAACAAATCCTACTTGTTCAAAAAAGGCATTTGAATGTTGCAGAATTGATGTCTGACTAATTAAATTAAATATAAGTAAATATTTGTGTTTTGAGACAGTGAAGGAAAAAAGTGATTTTAATAGTACTACCAATTTACTTCATAAATTGTTTTGCCTAAGGTGGCCTACTAGTTTAAAAATATTGTTAAAATTTTGCTTTCATTATCAATGAGAAGAAATGGTAACACTAGAAGTTGGACATCCTTGGAGAAACTCACAAAAATGTTTTGTTGTGCTTTGAAATGTATTTCTGTGGATTATTAGTATGGATAAACAAAACAACTAAAATTTCATATTTAATTGGGGCACAATGCTGCAATTACAAAAAAAAAAGTCTCTCCACTCCTGATCTGGTTTGGTAAAGTAAATCCAGATCCTTTGGTAAAGTTTGATTGGCACTACATTTTCACATAGCCAAAACAAAATATATCCAGGAGTGACCTAACTATTGAAATTTCCATTAGCCAACTAACATACACTGAAAAACTCACAGCAATAAGGACATTTCTAGGGAGATTTTTCTATAAAACGACAAATTGGACATCTAGAATGGATAGAACATAGTGCCACAAATTTTTCTTGATTTCTAGAGATTCTTGCATTCAGTCTGTCTTGAAATGTCAACCACCTACATATAAATGGTATTGGTTTTCTGCCTCTCTTTGCAGGTTTTTAGAATTTTGTGGCCTTTTGAAGAATAATACTAAATAATTTAAGCTTGGAAAGTGTGTTGACTTTCAATAAATCAAAAGCCAGTTTCCAATAATAATATTGAAAGTTGCCCTTAAACTACTGTGCTTGAATCAAAACGAGATTTAATCGCCTTGGATCTTGTGTGTGTGTGTGTGTGTGTGTGTGTGTGTGTGTGTGTGTGTGTGTGTGTGTGTGTGTGTGTGTGTGTGTGTGTACATAAAAGGGAAACTTACCCTAAGGCCTCTATTATTATTTAAAATGTCTGCAGAGTTGATCATTCCATGCTTTAGTCAAGGTTAGCCTTACAAAAGAACAAAACCTACATTGCTTTGTTGGCATGGTTTTTTTTTTTTAAGCCATTCATCAAACATGAAATTTCAGAAAAATAAAATAGGACAAAGCTGAGTAAAATTGGTCTACAACAAACAAAGATTTTCAGTACAAGTTAAACATCCCTGTCCACGGAGAATACCTCTGTGCAGCTCTCTATAGGGGGCTCTTCAGATCAAAAGGCTCTTCTCTTTGAGCATTGCTGGCAATAGTCTCTGATCAGCTTTGGAATTACTTTTGAAGAAAAGTATGAATATATATTTGTCTTTCAATCCATTCCACAAAGTATGATACGTTGCTGTAGACTCCAGGACCCAGGACTTTGGAAAAGCAGACGGAGCCCCATGAAGTTAAACCGAATAATGTCCACCGTCCTCCAGGCTGCTCACAAACGAGAGGCCCACCACTGTCGCCCTGTAATGAATTAGCAGGACGTGTTAGCTGTGGGATTTTAAGTCTAGTGGTGTTCATAGCATCCTGAGGTTACCATAAAGACAAAACCAGCAAAAACAACTTCCTGGAAAATTCCTGCAAAGCTTTCCAATGTTAGCTTGGGAGAGTCTGCCTTCTACAATATAAATGGAGATTTCAGATACACTCTGGCCTTTGAAAAGAAGGAGGGGAGCCTGGAAGAGATTTTTGTTCTGTCCATGAAATCAGAAGACTTTTAATACTCGTTTCCTGCGCTTAGCAAAATATGTTATAGTTTTTAAACTTTATATGTATTAGA